CACATCTCGACTCTTAATTCTTCTTCTTTTTATGGCGGGGGTAGGCCCGACGGGAGCTTACGAAACGCACCCCTCTGCGGAGATCGTGCGTGTCGAAGCGCTCTCGCTGTGGCGCCGTGCGAATTTGTCTTGAGCCCGGCGAACCCTCTGCGGAGATCGTGCGTGTCGAAGCGCTCTCGCTGTGGCGCCGTGCGAATTTGTCTTGACCTTGGCGAACCCTCTGCGGAGATCGTGCGTGTCGAAGCGCTCTCGCTGTGGCGCCGTGCGAATTTGTCTTGAGCGCGGCGAACCCTCTGCGGAGATCGTGCGTGTCGAAGCGCTCTCGCTGTGGCGCCGTGCGAATTTGTCTTGACCTTGGCGAACCCTCTGCGGAGATCGTGCGTGTCGAAGCGCTCTCGCTGTGGCGCCGTGCGAATTTGTCTTGACCTTGGCGAACCCTCTGCGGAGATCGTGCGTGTCGAAGCGCTCTCGCTGTGGCGCCGTGCGAATTTGTCTTGAGCCCGATGAACCCTCTGCGGGGATCGTGCGTGTCGGATCGCTCTCGCTGTGGCGCCGTGCGCATCTGTCTTGAGCCCGATGAACCCTCTGCGGAGATCGTGCGTGTCGAAGCGCTCTCGCTGTGGCGCCGTGCGATTTTCTTGCTCGCGAAACGGCTTTTGGAAGTTGTCTCGTGGTGTGCGCGCCTGCTTTCGCAATCCCGCGGTCCCGGGTTCGATTCCCCCCTGGTCCGCGGCAGCTCCGGCTTGAAAATCGCAGCTTTTAAGTACAAACGTAGTACGCGGAGCGTGCTCCTGCAGCTCCGGCTGGAAAATCGCAACTTTTAAGTACAGACGTAGTACGCGGAGGCTGCTGCAGCTCCGGCTGGAAAATCGCACTTTTTAAGTACAGACGTAGTACGCGGAGCGTGCTCCCGCAGCTCCGGCTGGAAAATCGCAACTTTTAGATACAAATGGCTGGAAAATCGCAACTGTAAATTGCAAATGTAGCACGCGGAGCGCCTCCGCCGCTCCAGCTTTTTGAGGGTTAATTACTTCACCTGCCAGTTTCTCATGCCGAAACTTCGAGAATTACTTCACCTGCCAGCTTCTCATGCCACCTTTTCGAGAGTTACTTCACCTGCCAACTTCTCGTGCCAACTTTTCGAGGAGTTACTTCACCTGCGAGCTTATCATGCCAACTTTTCGAGAGTTACTACACCTGCGAGCTTCTCATGCCAACTTTTCGAGAATTACTTTACCTGCCAACTTCTCATGCCAACTTTTCGAGAAATACTTTACCTGCCAACCTCTCGTGGCAACTTCACCTGCCAACTTTTCGAGAATTACTTCACCTGCCAACTTCTCATGCCAACTTTTCGAGAAATACTTTATCTGCCAACCTCTCGTGGCAACTTTTCGAAAAATTACTTCACCTGCCAGCTTCTCATGCCAACTTTTCGAGAGGTACTTCACCTGCCAACATCGCCTGCCAACTTTTCGAGAGTTACTTCGCCTGCCAACTTCTCGCGCCAACTTTTCGAGAATTACTTCGCCTGCCAACTTCTCATGCTAACTTTTCGAAAGTTACTTCACCTGCCGGCTTCTCACGCCAACTTTTCGAGAGTTACTTCACGCGCCATCTTCTCGTGCCAACTTTTCGAGAATTACTTCACCTGCCAGCTTCTCACGCCAACTTTTCGAGAGTTACTTCACCTGCCAACTTCTCATGCCAACTCTTTGAGAGTTATTTCACCTGCCAACTTCTCATGCCAACTTTTCTCTTGAGTTACTTCGCCTGCCAACTTCTCATGTCAACTTTGCGAGAATTACTTCACCCGCCAACTTTGCCAGCCAACTATTCGAGAGTTACTTAACCTGCCAGCTTCTCATGCCAACTTTTTGAGAATTGCTTCGCCTGCCAACTCCTCATGCTAACTTTGCGAGAGTTACCTCACCTGCATCAACTTGCCTCTATGCTTCCGGGCCACTCGTCGTATAGTTTAACCCACAAGTTGTGGACTTTTTACAAGGGATCAGAAAACGGGCAGCCCAGTCTTGGGGCTTGTTTGCGCAGTGGATCCCAGTCTTGGCGCACGGTAGGCGCAGGCGCCTTTCCCCAGTGCAGTCTGTTGCCAATATTCTAAGGGTTGATTCCTTTCCCATTCTTTTCAAGAAAGAAGGATCCTTGGAAAGGATGGGGAAGGTAGCACTAGAAATATATATATTTATATATATACATATATATATATATGTAACCCCCCTCCCCCGCGATGGATATGTCGTGTTGCTGTTTGAAGGCTATTTTGGAGATGGAATGCAGTTGTTTTATTTGGAATGCCCAATGCGACTTGACCAGCATGAGCTCACCCTAAGCAAGGAAATGGCCTTCAAAATCTTTCCAATTATGCACTTTTAATTGAAAAGGCAGTCCTATTTGGATTGTCCTTTGCTGAATTAAAACTGTTTTGGATTCCAGTTAATCCTAAATATAAAGTGGAGAAACAATATCCCGAGAAAGGGCGTTCTCTTTAAAATATATTTTGAACTAAGAATCCCAAATAGCAATGTTCTTCAAAACGGACATCCTATTCGAAACATGCTTAAGTCTAGAAATTATATTAGGCGTTGTTCACTTATAGTTTCTATCTAAGTTCTAATTAGAAGATTGAACAAATCATCACGGAAAAGGACATCCTTTCGTACATTTAATTTGAAATACGACTTTCAAATGTTATGAACCGTCTTTTAAAACACCTATGCAAATTATCTTTTAACTATAGACATTCTATTAGACTTATGTCCTTAAAAAAGAACATGACACTATGCCAACAAATCAACACGTTTGAACATCTAGTTTCAGATGGAAATGTTGATTACACATCTTGTTCGGCAAGGACATCAGACATCCTATGTAAGTTATCTTTAAACTACAAACTCTACTAGGGTTTGTTCCGTATTGAATTCCATTTCAATTCTAATGAGAAAATTGAACAAGCACGAAATTGGAAAAATGTCCTTTAAAATCAGCTTTCAATTCTATTTTGAGACAAGACATCTATTTGAGGTTTTGATTGTTAATCCTTATTGAATACTTTGAATTCCAAGCAAAAAAAACACCACACAAGCAAAACCAGTGCGGTTATTTCAACAAAGAAGCATGTGTCCACTGAACTTCATGGAACAAGCATCTACGAGAAGTAAGTCCGATTCCTGTAAACGTGGGTCAATAAACCCCAAACCCTACACCCTACACTTGGCCATGCAAAGCTGAGGTTTGGATAGATACAAAACAGCAGCTTCACTGTTCTTGGCATGTTTCTTTTTTTTTCCCCGGTTGTTTTTGTTTTTTAGTTTTTTGGTTCTGTTCATTTTTACAGGTCTGCCAAAAAACAACAAGTTTTTTTGGCCACACCAACAGTACCGATACAAAACCGCGAGACATGTTGGAGCCAGTGGCCCGGAAGTGAGAACACGTAAAAATTATGGCGCCGCGGGCCACAAAAAAAAAGCAAACAAACCTGGAGCCAATGAATGGCCCAGCGCAACCAAGTGAGAAAAAAAAGGAGCCAATGAATGGCCCCCCCCAAAAAAAAACAAAAACAAGAGAAAGGTCCAAGCAAGATCTGGAGCCCCATGACCCGAAAGTAGACATGTCAGGGAAAAAGAGCAAATTTCTGGAGCCAATGATCCAAAAGTACGAAAAGCAAAAGCACAAAGTGAAAAAGAAAAAACAAAATAAATAAAACACTGAAAAGGTAAATAAAAACAGGAAACATAAACAAATGAAGCAAGTACAGAAGTAAAAATAGAAAGAAGAGGGGGAAACAGGAAAGCAACTGAGCCCATTGGGGGGGGGGTACCCCACATATATATATATATATACATACATGAGCGCGTGTCTTTTTGAAGGGATGCCCCCCAAAAAGATAATGGTGGCTTTTTGTTTTCCTCAGGAATTCCTTTCAAACCGCCGCGAACAACTGGGTACCCTCAAAAAGGACACCCCTATATTTGGTATCGTAAAGGCGACGAACATACGAATAGCATGGAGGTAAATTTTCCCCGTTGGGTTAACCGTTTGGGGGGTGCCCTTTTTGGGGCAGTTTTGAATGCGAAGTTCCTTTGGAACACCCCAGACCAAGGATAAAACCAACCCATTTGGCTTTTTACGTTGCCTTCTTGGCCAGTGGCTCGGTTCAACGTCTTTTTAAGAACTGCATGGGTCAAGAAACTGCAGTTTGGATAGCGGTGTAGATCAGCTCCTTCTCTTGTGATACTGGAAAAGCGATCTTCCCCGGTCCCCACAAGGCATTCTTAGGTGACAGTTCCTCCCGTTGTGAAGGTTCTGTGGGTGGACTGCTCACTTCTGCGCTCTTCGCTTTCTTTTCGGGGGGGTTCTCTGCATGGGGTGTTTGTTTTTTCTTTTTTTCCGGAAAGAAGCCTTGCAAGGAATGGGAAGTTGCCCCTACGGTGGGACGCACCAATGCAATTTCCCAAATCGGTGTGGACTGGTTTGGCCAATGTCCGGGTATGGGTCAAAATTAAACCACCAGGGCACCGCAAGTTTTGGTCCATATTTCCACTTACCATTGTTCCATTTGGGGTCCTATTTTTGACCCACAGCCGTCTATAAATTGGCCGAAACCTTACCTAAAATTGGCTCATGGCGAAGATGCCATCGGGATTCATTGCCATGTACCTGGACCCTCAACATTTCACGCTAAAATGAGCTATTGCAACCCGAATAGTTTGAGGGTTCAGGTACTCGAAAATTGGGGGGGGCTTTTTTATGGGTAGTTTGAGGCTTCATACTGGATGGACGAACAATCTCGCACCACTTTGAAACCATTCTTGGTTGGTATTTACAGCGGAATCATATCATTGCAGGGTTTCGTTAGCGGTGGAAAAAACATGCTGTCAAAAGCCCCCCCCCAACCAAGACGCCAAGCACACCGGCTTGCCTATCAGAGTTGCTGAGCCGCTTTCGGAAGTGGAAATCGCCAGATGCGATTCGCTGCCTAGGTGTTGGGCTGGCTGGTGGACACCGTGATCCGAGGACGGGCAAACGGGCGGGGCCCGTTTCGCTATGGCGGGTAAGGCCAAGCGCGTGTAAGCAACACTTGGCAGTGTTTTGTTGAAGGTTGGAGCCTTTCCAAGAAGAAAAGGTGTTGTTTAAAATATGTTGTTTCCTGGCGCCTCTTTAAAACCACGTATACCCTCAAAAAAGAAACACTCACTTCATGAGTCCATGGACTTGATTCCTCAAACAAAAACACATGGTTGTTTCTTTTGTTTGGCCTACAGCCTCCTCAAAGGCTGGGGTTCCCGAAGGTGCTGCCGTTTTCTTCCCAGGGCTGCCTATTCAAGCAGTACTGGAACCACCGGAGAAAAGGCCAAGATGGTCTGCCAGGAACCCTCCCTACCGGGACTGAAAGGGTGCCCTTTCTTGAGCTGAAAGCTACGAGGGTGGCGAAATCCAGAAATCGCAGCACGGTGTCTGAAACCATGGAGTGGAAACCATAACGTTTGTCAACGCATTTGCGTTGGGGAATCATGTGCGAAATCGATTTCGCAACCATCCACCGTAGCTCGTTCCGGGTTGCGGATCCTGGGCGTGTTTCCCATGGCTATTGGGAGCATGCTCAAATGGCTGTGGTTGTCAACGCCGTTTTGGGATCCCATTTTGGTTGGTAGGTGAGAATTCACCACCCATTTTAGAACCTATTTTAGTGGGGATTGACATGTTCACTGGGGGTACGGGATTTTGACCCACAGCCAAATGAGTCACAATCAAAATCGAGTCGGGAAATTGGAGGGTAAGGGACAATCCCCTTGCCATTTTGTGATGCGGATATCCAGCGTTTTAATTCTTGAAGCATGCTTCTGGGAAGACTGTTTAAAACCAGATGTTGATGAATGCCCTTTGATTAAAAGGTCAGGTGACTCGGTTGCAAGTAGAGCTGGCCTTGGAATAAACGCAAAAAGAGCGTTCCCAAAAGGGAAAAACCGGCGCCAGCTTGATCCGCTCGAACTACTGTGGACGAAATCCATTTCGCAGCACCTAAGAAAGCATGGTTGAAACCATTACGCTATTTACCGGGAATCGTATCATCCGTTGCATTTCTCCTTGTGGCGCGAAGTGGAACTCGTCCATCCACAGTAGGGGTGTCCCATTTTGGAGGGAAATGGGATCTTCAATGAATATATGGGTGGCTCGTCTACTTTGGAGGGACCCCCTTATTGGTCGGTTTCACACAAGGACCACCGGTGGGTCCCCCAAAAAGACATCCCCATATCAGAAATCAATCACGGTCGGAAGCCCGTTCTTTTGCTGAGGTGGGTCAAGCTTGCTCGAGTGTTCACGGAACCAAAGAGCACTTCAGGGGCCTGAAAACAGGTTTTGCATACGGCAAACCAACACGTCTGAAGTTGGAAAAGAAGGCACGTATGAAGGCTTATGTTCCTGTCAATCCCCAAATCATTGGGGGGGGGGGGGGGTTGGATTGTTGCGGGCAATATGAGGTTATGTCGGGAAAACTTCCCGCTTGAGGGACTTAACCACGAATTACTTGCACTTATCCAACTATAGGGTCCGGTCCCTGCACGAGAAACGTGCCATCTACTGCCATCTACCGCGCGTGGGCGACCTGAGCTTGGCCTCCTGAACCCTACCTCGGAGTTGCTTTCAGCTCTGAAAACGGGCGCCCAAAAACAACACCGAGTGACATTTTTTATGGTTTCCAACTTTTGTTTAAAACAGGTGAGGTGATTTCCCTTCAAAGCCACCTGGACACTCAAACCACCCAAAAACCAAAGTTGGAACGCACCCATTCCATCATCTGGGGTTGCAATTTGCAAGCTTCAAGGCTTGGACTTTTTCTTTCTGGTCCCAGGCCAAGCCCAAAAAAGTCCCCAAAGGAAAAACAGAACACCAAGTCCACCCAGCCGTTCTTTGCGGCTTGCGCCCGCAAGCGCGGCTTTCGGGTGCGCGAGGGATTCGGCGCGCGCCTTCCCACGTCGCGCGAGGGATTCTGCCCATCGACCCCATGCTGCTGCGCCTGGCGCGCCTGGCCCGGCTGCTGCGCTTGATGCGCCTGGTGCGGAAGCTTAAGGGCTTCGACGCGCCTCGGCGGGCGGTGAGCGCTCAGCTGCGCTCAGGTGCTCAGTGGGTCAAAGGGCGCGATGGATTCTGGGGGGCCAAAAACGGGGAGAACGGAGACCCAGGAATTCATGGGAAAACACGTAGATGAGCTGGAAACCGAAGAATGGATGGAAACACGAGAAAATAGGGGACCCCCGAAAAATGAGGATTCATGGGAACTGAAGTGAGAACTGAAATGAAAGCCCAAAGAGGAACACAAGGAGACTCCCAAGGGCTCTTGGTCGACGCAACTCTATTCACCCAAGAGTTTGGTTGATATGGGTAAGACCAGTGTTTTCACTTCCTCGTGCCTGGACCCATGGAATTTCAACTGAATGTTGTTATTGCAACCCGAAATGGTTGGTGAATTATAAACATATATATGTATAGGTGTTTGAAGGTCCAGGTGTCTTGTTTTTTTGACCCCCAAACTCGTGGCTTTTCTCTTGGTTTCCCTTGGTTTTCCCCTTTTCCTATGGGTGTTCTTTCGGGTCCACATAGAACATGAGCAAATTCTTGGTTTCCTTCCGTGAGACCACGCATTCGTAGCTGCCAGTGGAGTCGTGAATTGGGGATGGCTGAGTGTTGGTTTAGAGCACGAGGGTTCATGGAGTCTCCTTCAAACAGATTGGTCCTAGAGTCTCCCTCAGTTGTTCAAAGCCGACCTTTTGACCTTTTGGTTTTCCCTTTTTGGTCTATTTTTAGTAGAGGTCCCCAAAGGTGATCACCTTCTATTTGCAGGTCCTTTGGGCAAGTGAGCTCCTTAGAAAATGCTTGGTCGTTCCGCAAAAGAACAGGATATCGACCCTTTTTCTAGTTTTTTTTTTTTTTTTCCGGACAGCCCCTGTTTGGTCACCCTAAGGCTCCAATTCGCTGGGTTTCTGGTGGCCTCAATCCGTTTCCAAGAACCCCTGAGGGATCTGAGGAATCGAAGTCGCAGCGGCCCTTTTTTCGAATCTTACCTCTTAAAAACTTTTTTGGGTAACATGGGCTATATGTCTGTAAAAGATGAGAACTTCCCCAGGTTGCTTGGAGTTTTAAGGGGTAAGGAATGGGGACACCCATGTTGTATTTGGCTGCGGGTCAAGCAAATGAACACCAAAATGCCACCTTGTAAACGGAACCAAAGACCAAAACCTGCGTAACTTAGTAACCCTAGCTCTTGAATTTTGAGCCACACCCATTTTTTGCCTCTTCCTGTTATTTTGTTTTTTTTGGGGGGGGGGCGAAGATGTTTGCACCCGGCAAAAAGTGTGTTTTGTTGGCTTCCCAAGGCGCTCTACATCCTGACCACCGCTCTCCGGGGCAGCGTCACGGCCTTTTGGACGGCACCGCCTTTACCTCTAGGTCCCCCAGCTAGGTGCCCTTTCACCGTTTCTTTTTTTGGGGGAGGGGCAACCCCCTACAAAAATAGGCTACAGGAAAAAGTTGGTACCCTTATTCTAACCTCTCTACTGGAGGACCTAGACCTGCTCAGTGAGTTTCTATGACCAGATTCAAACGTCCAGGATGTTTCCTAGTTCTCGGCATTGAACCTGTTTTGGACGCAAACGCAAATGCCTTGAAACAGGAAACACCCACGAATGACCCGCAAAGCGCCCGCACAAAAGGGGCAAACGCCCGCTCAAAACGCCCTGAGCTCCAGAACGTCTGGGAATTCCTCGACATTCAAATCCAGGGTCGTGGGATCACTCGGGGTTTCTCCAACCACTCCTGTGATACTTTCGGGAATCCCTCTTATGAACAAAGTAGTCTTTGGGGTTAGGCCCTTTTTGTTGTATCATAGAAGTGGTCATTCCCCACAGCCCTGTTCAAATCTCCAGGGATCTGTAAATGCTCAGATTCGAAAAGTAAGATGTAGTTTGCAATTACCTAGAGTCTCCTTCTGCCCCTCAACAAATGGTTGGTCATACCCAAAATAGTTCGGGGTCATGGACCCATTAAAGGGTCATGGAGACTCCAGGGACTCCTCAACCGCTAAGGCTTAGCTTGGCCATAGTTGGCTCAACCCTTGGTGTGCAGACAAGGTGATTCAGAACACTCTACTGACTCCCTGAGTTCTGTTTCGCACTGGAGTCACTTTTTCTTGATGGCTCCCAGCCATCCGGTCCCTTAGCCTTTTAGCTGTTTAGCATTTTGTTTGTTTTTGGCGGGGTTTTCCAGTTAGCCCACCAAAAGTTAAGCTCTTAGCGGGGGATCTGAGGACAGCTCAGTTTTGGGTCTGGACCATTTCGTGCCACATACCAAGTTTGGGTACTTTCTTTGGCCAACCCACTCGATCGGAAGCGAGTACACCAGGCTCTGAGTGCTTGCCAAGTTCCCTGAGTAGGATGTAAGTATATCGCATGAGGGGACTGAGGATGCTGAGGATGGTTGCGAGATCCGATGAATCTCGCACGGTTTATGAAGCCATGGTTGAACACATCACATCTGCTACCGGTACAGGGGAGGCATCTCATTCCGTTGGGCTTTTTCGGTGGTGCGAAATGCACTTCGAAACCGTCAGTATGAGCCGCAAATTTCAAAGTGGGCCTCCAAGTTCTTGTCTGATTGCGATGATTTCCCCAGCGAAACAGTTCCACTGCCCAACACCTGGCCCAAAGGAAGTGGAAATCAGAGAGCATCTGATTCACGCGTCTCCTGGATAGCCCCACACGGGAAACCTGCAATTCACTGATCATGTTCTCATTTAGCTGGGGACAAGTTATGGCGGAACACAAGTGACCAAATAGGAAACTCTTCAATGCCGGCTTTGCGGTCGGAGGTTGCTTCACCTGCTTGTATGGCACCCCCTCAAAAATGGAATTGGGGGACCAGGGGGTGACCCCTGGAATTCCATTTGTGGTTCCATTTTCCCTTTTATGGGGAAGACTATATAAATGGAATTGGGGACCCCCACCCCCCTTCCCCTTAAGGTAGGGGGATGGAGGCGCCCCTGTGACTAAGGTTCTGCTTTGGTCCTTCCTGATGCTCCTGGGCTGGTCAGCTGATGTGTGGGGTACCGGCGCGGCCAAACTTGGCTCGAAACGCTGTTTTTTGGCGTTTCGCCTTTTGGGGTTTCCTTCACTTTCGCTTTCAACCAGCAGCGGGTCGAAGTCCAAAAAAGGGCACTACTGGGGGACCTAGTATATACCTGGACCCTTAAGATTACAACTTGAACCTGCATGGACCTGCATGGAGTCTCCTTCTGACCCTTTAAAAATGGGTCCATAACCCCGAACTATTTTGGGTAATGACCAACCACTTTTTAAGGGTCATGGAGACTCCAGGTTCCCCTTTCAACCAGCAGAAACATCACAAACTTTTGGCGGGTCGAGGTCCGACCCAGTATTTTGCATCCCAACATACAAGTTCGAGTTTCCTTGAGTTCCACTTTCAACCAGCCGAGCCTAAGTCCGGGGTTGTATCCCCAACCCCCAACTTCAGTAAACTGCAAGGGAAGCCACCGGACGGTCCCAAAGGAAAGTTGTCTTGCACAACCGGCGACCTCCAGGTTCCATGTTGGTTGGTTGGGGTCTTTTTTTTGGGGGCTTCGACCCATGAAAAGAATGCTTGGTATTCACCCCCACGGTTTTAATCCCACACACTCCATGTTGGTCATATTTACTAACATTCAAATGTCGGCTTCTCAGGCCAAGGTTCGCGAATGGCAAATAGCACCAACATTGGAGTGTCTGGGTTATCCGTGGTTTGAACCCTAGGGATTTGCTTAGGGCGCGTTTTTCTAGGATCCCGGATGCGCGGTCATGAGTTCTGCTCGAAACCGTGGTGTTCCCCGCACCTTCTAATGTATCATTCTGCAGGATCCACGCCCCCCCTTGAAATGTATGGAAAGGTGGCCTAAATCATACCAATAAAGGGACGATTCCTTCCAACCACCATGCAATTCTGCGGAATGTACCTGGACCCTCGTAATTCCCGCAAGAATGGGTTACTGCTCATTGGGTGAATTCCCTTTTCTATGGGTAATTATGGGTAGTTGAGGGCTCAGGTAATTTTAAGGGAAACTGGTTTGGGGGTAAGGGATGCAGGGTTGCCGAGAGCCGTCGAACACAAGCCAACGCATTGAAGGTCATTCTGTGAATTGCTGCGGGGAACTTCATACCGTGGATCGACGGAATGCTGATTCCCCCTGTAAATACCCAACAAACAATGGGTTTCGCATGGTTTCAAAGTGGTGTAGTTTCAGAGTTTTGGGCTCGTTCCCAACGGTCTAGCGGGTTCAAGCAATGTTTTGGTTTGCCTTTTTTTCTGGTGGTTACACCAAGGGTGTTTTGTCCTTTGCCCAATTGTGGAACAAGTAGGTGTGTTGGGCTTTTGGAAGGCAGTGGTCAGGTTGTCAGACCAAAGGCTTCTTTTTTAACGTGTCTGGCTTTTCAATGGAGACGTTAGAAGATGCCAGCCCCAATGAAAGTCCATCCATAAGACCTGGCAAAGAACCAAAGGTAAACTTTCACCCCAGGACAGAATACTCACTTCCTGAGTGTCTGGACTGTATACCCGGACCCACAAGAACTACCCATAAGATAAAAAAAAAAAAAAAAAAAAAAAAAAAAAAAAAAAAAAAAAAAAAAAAAAAAAAAAACGGGAATTCACCGACCATACTTTTGGGTTGCAATAACCCATGTTTAAGTTGGAATCTTGATTGCGTCCAGGTATTTGTTTGGGAAGATCATATGAGTGTCACACTAACAAATGGCCATGGGTCAAAATCGCGTACCCCCGGTGAACATCCCAATCCCCACTAAAATAGACTAAAATGGGTGGTGCACCTACCCGAAATGGTACCATTGTGTTTTGACCCACAGCCAACTTGTTTGCCCCTTCCACTCAGGAACTAAGAGAGCAGGAAGCTCCGTTGGGCTCGTTGGAGGAAATCAATGGTGACCCCAGATTCATCAACCCGAAACCTATTAACAAAATAAAGTTCCCCTCCAAAAGTCATGAGCTTTCACTAAAAGGAGACGCCCCTTAGCACTCAACCAGGGTTTCTGTTTACTCCAACTAGGTCCCCCAGTAGTGCCCTTTTACCCTTTTGTGGGGGGAGGGTTCCCCCACTAAAATAGACTACAGAAGAAAGTTGGTACCCTTATTCTAACCTCTCTACTGGAGGACCTAGCCAAGGTTCCCAGTGCTATGATGTGTGGGGTGTTTCTTTGAAGCAATCTCAGCTTCGGGATGGTCCATCGAGCGCCACTACAACCCGGACCCGATGTTTGAAAGAGCGCTACTGATGGACGAAGTCCTGCAGAATGCCAGGAATGCCTGGAATGATTCATGATGCTTTTCCTATACCAACAAACATCCCCGTACATACCACAATGGTTTCAACCATGGTTTCAAAGTGGTGCGAAATCGATTTTGTCCATCCGCAGTTATGACGACCCCATTCAAAAGTGGTGAACATATCCATATGTAACGAGTCCTCCCTCTAACATGGTACCGACAGATCTTGAACCCCAGGGCTGGGCGGTTCCATGGAGACCCGATGCCAAATTCTCCCGTGAGGTGAAGAGGTGTCCCACTTTGGCCGGGGCAAAGGTGACGAGAGGAAACCAACTCACTGGCCCAAATCGACCTTTTCACCTTTTTTTCATTTGGCGCCATTTGGTTCCCATTTTCCCTAATTTTTCTGATGAGCTTTAATTTTTCTTGGTCCCATCCAGGGCAGCTGAGCAAAAGGGGAGGGGTAATTGTTCCACCACTGTTTCTTGCCGGTGCTCAGGAATGAGGGAATGAACCTGGGGATTCCCGAACAAAGGAAACCACCAGTTGGATGGTTTACAAGCGTCATTCCAATTCTCCTTACCTCTTAAAAACACAACTTTTCACAACTTTTTGGGTAACATGGGCTATATGTCTGTAAAAGATGAGAACTTCCCCAGGTTGCTTGGAGTTTTAAGGGGTAAGCAATTCTCATTCCCTGCCGAAACCGCACTTGCAAGTGTTGGGACCCCTGGAGAGAAAACTGGTGTACATCGTTGGGACGCTGGGAGGTGCCAGGTATCCTAACTTCCACCTTACCCAAAGGATCCCTGAGCACTAGAGTCTCCTACTGACCCCTCAAAAAATGGGTCCACCCCTCAATTTTGGGTAATGACCCACCATTTTTCAAGGCTCATGGCGACTCTAGGTAGCAAGCGTTCAGACGTTCACGCGATGCGGTGGCTTAGCATTGCCTCAACTGGTTTCTTAGCGAAAGCTTCCCGTTCCGAGGCTCTTTCTGCTGCAGCTGATCTTCGCGCTCTTCCTGTGGCATGACTGTGAGCAGCAGAAACAAAAATCTGAACTACCTGGAGGCTGCATGACAACCCGCCTAGGAGACTTACAACCATGGTCAGTTGGTTAGAACCATGGTTATTTCCTACTTACCAAGTAATTTCCCCGCCCCTTCAAGTACCCTCTCATCGCCCTCCCCTTTTCAGGTGGACACATTCTGATGTCCACCAAAGGGGGCCGAAGCCTTAAACTTCACACGGCAATGGGGTTGAGACTTAGCACTTGAACCTGAAAGACCTCGAAACCAGATGGAAATCGGTTTGGTTCAACATTTTTTTCGGCCTCCTGCTTTGTGATGGGGAAACCCCAAAATCGTACCAAAGCCAGCAAACGGGGGTGCTTCCTTATTCTTATTGGTACTAGTGTGCATGTTGGGGGATTGGACAGGTAAAATTCAAGCGGAGTTTGCATTGCATATCGGGCGTTCCCGTTTTTTTCTTGGGGAGGTGGATTGGCTGTTTCCCCGTTCAATGGGATGAGAAAATGCAATCTTGACAAGATGTACACAAAATATTTTGGGATATAATGGAAAGGAATGACGAATATTGAATCCATATGTTTCATATTGTGTTTTCTATATTCTTCATCCTTGCTAATATCCTTCCATATAACTCATTGACTCATGTCATGTCCATCTTATCTCCATCGCATAAGCCGGAGATCTGTGGAGGGACATGACATAGAAAGGAGAGAGGGATGGTGAGGAAGGATGACGAAGGAAGCATCGCAACTGTGTGCAATTGCGCCTCCTGCCTTTGTTGGCCGTCATCTTTTCTCAGCTTATCATTTGGTTAGTTCTATATTTTTTCCCCTGTTGGTTTTCAGTGGTGAATCTCACTGGACATACTGTGGATGGACGAAATCCTGCACCACTTTGAAATCATGGAAACCATTGTTCGTTGGTATTTGCAGGGGAATCACCATTCCAGGGTTTCTTAGGTGATGTGAAATGGATCTCGTCCATCCACAGTATTTGATATTTCTTCCAGGGGACTTAATTGAGCAAATGGAGGTAGCGTACCCCGAATTCTTCATGACCCGTTGATCTGCGGGATGCCCACGGATTGGTCACCCGTTCCCAAGTTGGCGTTACCTGCCGAGTTGGCGATGGAACAGCTCTTGGAAAACCCTCTCTTTTCCTCAGGGCGACTCCTCTCCTTAGCTATACCTACTTCTGTCACCGGGCTCTCAGAAACTCATCCTTACCTGTGTTGGCTGCCTGAAACATGTCTTCTTGCAACAACGTGATGGAATTGGTGAGAATTCCCCGGTGCTTATGGGTAGTTTGAGGGTCCAGGAAGGCTGGTTTCTCATCATTCAAACTTGGTGGCTCCCTTTTTAGCTTTTCAGCGTTTAGTGGTTGGTTTTCCATTTCGCCCACTAAAAGTTAAACTTTTCGCGGGGATCTGAAAACGGACAGCTCAGTTATATATGTGACAGGATGCCTTCTACGATTCCTTGTTTTCTTTTTTGGGGGGTGTGGAGGAAGGGTAGATTGCATGCTGGTTCTTGATGAAGCCAATGGAGAAAACACGCTGCAACCTCCAGTCCGAACCACACGGCGACAACACAAAGTTGCTGTGGTTTGCAACTTCTCATTGTGCAGATGTTGCATGCTGTTGGTGACTTTTGTTTTCGCCTCGCCATGCGCAGCCTATATCCGCCAGCGCTCAAAAGCGCCTTGTTGGTGACTAAACCCTTAAAAGTCAAACTTCAAAATTGGTGATTGCTACCCATAAAGAAGAATTGGAACTCACCCATCATGAACGTGGGGTCGCAGAAACAACCACCTGGAGTCTCCATGACCCTTACAAAAGGGTGTCATTACCCCAGATACAGGGGTTATGGACCCTTTTTTAAAGGGTCAGAAGGAGACTCCAGGCAGGTTTAAGTTGTAGTTTTAAGGGTCCAGGTATATACTAAGTCCCCCAGTACTGCCCTTTGTACCTTTTTTTTTTGGGGGGGGGAAGGTTCCTCTACTAAAATCGACTACAGAAAAAGGGTACCCTTATTCTATCCTCTCTACTGGAGGACCTGGTATATCTAAATTCTGCGATGCGTCCGGTGCGCCCCTTGGCGTTCCACAAAAAAGCCAAGGCAGAAGGTCGCGCAGGACACCATCGTCTTCCAGACAGACGTCTCCTTCAAGGACGCCAACGAGGACGGAAGTTCGAATTCGGTCGCTCTATGGGAGTTGTTTTTTTGTGTCCTTTTGTGTGGACCCTCCAAAATTTGTTGGTTTTCCTGTTGATGTTCTCAAGCAACCCACAGGCAACTCTGCAAAGGTTGAAGTCTGTGTGAATTGTAGCTGTGGGATTGTGGCCACTGTAATTCTGGAGACTCCGGGGACTTTGGCAGGTGTCGGGGTCGCTCGAAGCCTGGATCTTGGCTTTCCTGTTGGTGTTCTGGCTCAAAAAACGACCCCCAAACGGGTCCCGGAAACAGATGTTGTTGGTGTTCTGGCTCAAAAAAGCGCCGACCCCCAAACGGGTCCCGGGAAAAAACAAATAAAAAAACATGTCGGCCCTCTGGGACTCCTATCGGGAAGCTAAAGGAGGGCCAAAAGGCGCAGGGACCTGGAGCCTCAAGCTCGGCGAATTTGTCTATAGGCGGTTTCTAGGCGAGGGCCCCCCAGCAATTGGTGCCAAGGTTGAGCGTTTCTGTTTTCGGGGTAGGGGGCAACCCCCTACTAAAATAGATATACAGAAAAGAAAAGGGTCACCCTTATTCTAGCGTCTCTACTGGAGGACCTAGTAGGGTACCCAGAAAAGAAAGGGGAAACTCACCGATTCCGGAATTTTGGGTTGCAGTAAAACACATGTTTAAGTTGGAATGTTGAGGGTCCAGGTACACCAAGTAATATCTTAGTGTGTTTTAGCATCGGACATCATCGGAATGATGAGTTGTCCTTGATGTTTCAAGTTTCCTCCAAGCGACACAAAGGCGGTACCATCCAAAAGAAGTCCCCCCATTTTGAGGAGCACCTAATGACGCCCATCGAGGGATAGAGCAAAGAAGCGCGAGGGGTGCTGAACCAAACGGGGTCCAGAGGTAGGGCACGAGTCGCAACTCGGAAATGGGTGCTGCCATATTGCCTGGTTTTCTTGTTTTGGGATGCGGTTTCTCGTGAGGGTTAGTGTTCAGCACTTCAAGGGGTGTTCAATACGTGTTGATTGGACATAACTATACTTTCGACTTCGACGCTTTCAGAATTTCAGGGGTCCGCAAGCTTGCGTTCAACATCAAAAGGCAGCTCCCCGTCCAGTTCGTTCCACAGCTCCGGGGATTTGAATTTGATTCCGCAGTCACGGTTTGAAGACCTGGACCCTCAATACTCCAACTGAACAATTGGTTATTCCCTTTTCTATGGGTAGTTTGGGTACCTGGAGTCTCCATGACCCTTCAACAATGACCCTGTGAATTTGGGTAATGACCCCATCTTTAAAGGGTCGTGGAGACTCCAGGTACAGGCACTTGCGCTTGAGGGGGGGGGTTTGCTGACGCCTGGAGGATAGTAGTGATGGAGTTTGAGCCCCATATAGTCAAGGATCCCAGACCTAGCCCCCGAAGACTTGCACTCGGGCTAGCCATGTCCTTTCTCTCCCTCTCCCTCTCCCTCTTTATTTTTATACATATACATTTGAATCTAGAATATATGTATGTGCTTTCCCCCACCCCCTGCACATTACCCACAAGAGAAAAGCCACTTGGCTTTGGCTTTGAAAGTAGAAGTCTCGGGGGAACCGTGGCCAGTGGTTCTATGTCTTTGGCCTGTATGACATGTTTGTCTTGCGATCGGTTCGGTAGGCAGGGAATGAGAACTGGAATGACCCCGATTACTTGGTGGCTCCCAGCCATCCAGTTCCTTAGCTTTTTAGTGTTTAGTGGGGTTTTCCATTTAGCCCACTAAAAGTTAAACTTTTAGGACAGCTCAGTTTAAGGGAATCCCCTTCAGGTCCCACCCAACACCCGGAAGGTCATCCCTTCTGAGCACTAGCAAGTTGTGTCCAGATGTGGGTCAAACTCTGCTTCTTGGATAACTCAGGCTCGCTTCACCCAAATTCTGCCTGGACCCGCAAAATTCCAACTGAAACAAGGGTTGCCCCAAAATTTATGGCTGGTGAACAACAAGCTTGCTTGCGGTACCTGGACCCTCAGGCTACTGTACCCAGAACAAAGGGAACTCACAGCATCATTTTGTAGGGCAATAGCCCAGGTTTACGTCGGAAGTATGAGGGTCCAGGTGTTCTTTCTGGGAATCCCAAGACTTAGCTTCGCTGCCCCTCCACTCTCCAGCCCAACCAATCTGACTACTGATCAGAAGGCCACAGGAAGCCAAATTTCCCAGCAGGGGGGGTTCGACCCCTGGAGATCTCCATTTATGGGAACCCACTTGCTCCATGGGCAAGGCCACACCCCGCCCCCTCTCCCCCTTATACAAGGTAGGCCCATTTTTAGATTAATGGTGTGATGTTTCCTCGTTGTTCATTTTATGCCGACCCATTTTCCCTCAACTCCAACATAAGCTAAATTAAGCCAAGCATGTCTTCCATTCATGCGAGCCAGTTTTGCGTATGCAACAGACTGACATGGTTGACCGGGACCCGAACCGGGTTCCCATCCCCCGAAACCCCGGCAAGGAGATAAACCAACCATGTGAGAAGGTCCCCGTTCTTTTTTGACGCACGGCAGATTTTTCTTCGCGGCCAACGCCGGTCCGCATATGTCCAACTTTTGAGTGGCTTTGGACGTCACCTTGCATGGCTAGAACGAGCATCCTGAATGCAGGAGCTCTTCCTCTACTTCGGCACCTGCTCCAGAGCTGTCTTAACCATGTTCGAGACTTGTCCAGTCTCGGGGAGCCGCGAGACACTGACGATTTGTTTGTCCAAATAAAGTAAGTTCCCCTATTTTTGTTGGAGAGGAGGGGTCTCATTTGATTATTAGCCTTTTGAACAACATGGACTTAAGTTCCCTTGTAGTTTGGTTCTGGCGCAAACCTGCGGTTGGCGGATGCCAATCTTTTTGGGGGTTTGAGGGTCCAGAAACTCGCCTCTGATGGCTTTGGATTTTTTTGTCCAGCTGGGAACATGTAAAGCAAACTCACCCATGATGAAGCTCTAGTATGGTCCGGAAGGAAGCCACGTCCTCAAAACCCGAGCAGACGAAGGTTAAGGGAACATCCCACCCGTAACCGGGTGCAGCCGCCTCTTTTAATCTTTACACCGTTCTGGGTAGACCATTTTAACACCAGGTTCTGATTATGACTCATGTCGACCCCGGATTCATTAACCCTTCCCTGGTTGATGAATACGACGCGATGGGTATGCTTCACTTTGGTGGGTGACGGCCCCCATGTGTAGGATTGCCTGATTCATCCGGGGCTAACATTCTCATGTTTTGCTGGGGTTCGTTGAGGCAAATGTTCAGGTGTGGTTGGTGCTGGATGCTTTGCCCATGGCTCATGCCGGGGCCCTTTAAAATGGGTTGCAACATCCAACTTGTTTATGGCTTTGAGGGTCCAGGTGATAAAACGACCATTGGTCACCCTCAGGGCAAGAAAAGGAGCCCAGCTGTTGGACCCTCAAAAAGGCCCTTTTTGAGGTCCAACACCTTCCATAATGAAGTTCCCTTTACCCTAAGGGTTTTCGATGCTTTGATGCAGACCCATGGCATGTTTTGGGACCTGACCACATGTAGCGCCCTCAAATCCCAGGTTGCTCCGACCGTTTTGCTGGAAGAGCGCCCAATGGAAAAGCAAATCCGAGGAGATCACTCTGGGCAACTGGCCCCCAGTGGCGCGGCCCCTTGGCACCAGGTCACCAAGACATTCCCGGATGCTTTTGGGTAGCCTCCTTTTAGTAACAGAAGGCACCTGTGGGAGGGTGGAAGATGAATTTCCTCTTCTACCTGACCCCCTGTCAGGTGCCAAGTTAGTGGTTAGGGAGGGTAGCAATGTGAACCTAGAGTCTCCGAATCTGACCCCTAGAAAAAGAGGTCATGACCCTTGCTTTTGGGAAGGACCTTTTTTCAAAGGTTCAGAAGGAGACTCCAGGAATAAATGGGTATGGGTCAAAATTCAATCAGGAATTGGGCCCGGTTTTGGTCCATGTTTCCACTTAGGGCAAGCCATTTGGAGTGCCTATGTTTGACCCACAGCCAGATAAACAAATGTCAATGTAGACTGTAGACGTGTGGTCCGGTAGAAAGAGTCAATGTCCCTGAAGCCTCAACACTCCAACTTAAACGTTGGTTTTTGCCGTTTGGATAATGTCTTCTTTTGTTATGGGAGTTTGAGAGTCCAGGTCAATGTATTGTGGTCCGGTAGAAAGAGTCAATGCACCTGGACCCTCAAAATGCCTCTTAAAAAGAGTCTTGCTCAAAGTTATGGGGTGAAATCCCTGTGATATGTTATGAGAATAGTACCTACAAGTAAAAGTGTGTGTATATATATATATGTGCGCTATATGTATAGGTATACACGCCTGGTCTACCTATCACATATACACATAGATGCTTATTGTATTTGAACCATTTGTGTTTGTTCATATTATCATATTGCTTTTTGCAGCTACGTGCGGGGGTTCTTCGAAATAAGATGTGCCCCGCCCACATGCGGTTGATTCCCTGATATTTCAGCTCGGCAAGTGAGAACTGTTTGCATTGGTGTCGTGGTTGGTTTTGGCCTCATCGTGTTATTTGCCACTCTTCCGCTATCGCATGGAAAGGGTAGGGACTGGTACCTTACTCATGCTGGGTTGCTTTTGTTGGTACAAGGGAGCTCATGTATGCAGGGGCTTAACCCCAAGATCTCAGGCGCGGGGGTTGGGGTTTTGTGTGTTCGGCTCACGTTTGCGCCCTGTACTGATCATGCGATTGCTTGCAGCGTGCAGCGAGGGTTAGTTTAAGAGACGGAAGCTTAAAAACACTGTCTTCTACCCAGACCGTGGACCCCCTTGAAAGGGAAACCAGCAGGAGAGTGGTAAACAACCGGGTGTCTTTTTTTGAGGGTACCCCTTTTTGCTAGGGAAGTAAAAGGAACACCACCATTTGCACCTTCACGCGCAAGTCCTCGGCAGATGTGCGTTGCAAGATTCCTTGGCCTTGTGGCCACAGCTCCAAGAGAGTCGCAACTCAGTCCGTGGGGGCTTACCCTGCAGATGCCCCAGGGGGCCTCATTTCACTCACCTGTCAACCACTCCATGACTCTGGGAGACCCAACATTTTACTTGTTCGGCGGTTTTGGGCATCACTTGTTTCGGCCTAGCTGCCTTGTGGGAGTTATCACTCCCTAAACCCTGTCCCAGAGCCGAGGCAAGCCCTTGCCTACCTACCAGGCGAATGCATCCACTGGGAATCTGCTCCCACGTCTTCTTTTAAGTTGTTCCCCTGTGAACAAAACACTTCAAAGCAAAAAAGCTATTACTATACAACATAACAAATATGGAATTTATGAATTCCAACCTTTTTATGGCAGTTTTTTTGTTTTTCCGGGTCCAGGTGCCACTGGATCCACTCAGTGTACCTGGACCCTCAAAACTCCAACTAAAAGAATAGTTCTTGCCCCAAACGTACGGTTGGACAGTTCCCTTTGTATGGGTACCTGGAGTCTTCCACCCTTCAAAAAATAGTTAGCCATGACCCAACACATTTCGGAGTCGCGGCCCTATTTTTCTTTCAAGGGTGAGATCCCGGGACTCCAGGCAAAAAGTTCTTTCAGGTTCTCCATCTCCTGGACTGCTATTAGGGTTGGATCTTTAGACTTGAACTTTTTGGTTGAAATCAAGAGGTTTCCACTAAACCCCCAAGCAGTTAAAGTTTTTGCAGGGGGGTTAACAGCAACCAAGTCGCGTCCTCGTTCGTTCATACCGCAGGCTGTTGCAGGACCACGTCCACGAAGCCTTTTGCGTCTTCTCCATCCTGCACAAGGCGCAAGAGAAACCGCCGGAAGACACGGGGAAGTTGGGCTCGGCTTTTTCCGGGTAGGCGTTCGAGACGAAGGATTCATGGAAGAGAGGGTAAGTATAAAGCGGGCCCGTTGGGGATGCTCCTTTTTTTGGGGGGGAGGGCTGGTAGAATCTTTCGAGGGGTTAAAGTACCTTAGATTAGAAGGTGCTCGAACCAGGGCAACGACGCAGGAGGCGCCCTTCCCTTTTCCATTTGTTTGCTTTTCTTTATATAAGGAACTGGTGGGAGGAAGTCGAACCGAGTGGATAAGACATAGTAAGGGCCCGGGACTTTTTAGCTCAGGAGAGACAAATTCGACCCCCCTTGGGCATTGGTATGTCTTCTCCTTTTGGCTCCCTTGAATTGAATGTTGGTCTTAAGTGGTGTTCTGACCTGGTCAGAACCCTGACTTATTTGGGGGGACGTGTTGGGTTTTTTTCCAGGTAAGTAATAGCTCTTAGCATCGTGGCCGAACTAGGGAGATTTTGCATATCGACCTTTGAGGTCATTAGGCGGTCCGGGCCTTCCTGAGCCTCCTTCCGCCTGAATTTACCTGCAGTCTCCTTCTGCCCCTTCAAACATAGGTCCAGCACCCCCAATTATTTTGTGTCATGACCAACCATTTTCAAGGGTCGTGGAGACTCCTCTACTTAGAGGGGCATGGTACTTCGTAAGTGGTTCGTAAGCCTGCTTACAACCCACTTATGGTTATAAGTCTCCGTTCCGTGGGTTATAACATGGCTTACTCACCACTTACCTGACGTACCCGATCGCCCCGACTCGGCACTCGACTTTTCGGGTCTTCGGCTTCTCGAGATCACGGTGGGCTATGCCTTGCTGGCGGTGATCAACGGCGTTTTCCTCAAGGACGGGCACTGGGAGTCGAAGGGAGTCGATGCCTTTTATATAGTTCACCCCATAAAAGACTCATTGCAACCGGTTTATTTATTGGGGTCCCGGTGTCACCCTGGGTGAAACCTGGGAAAAAAACAAGAGATCACTTGAGGGACCCCCCACCCTATGAATAAAAAGGAGTGGTTGATGAATATTCAAGGGGTAGCTTCCCCATTCTTTCCAGGGATCCTTCTTTCTAGACATCCTCCGGAAACCCCGTAAAAAACGGATCCGGTTTTGGAACAGAACGATGGTTAAAAAGAATGGTTGGAATCAACCCCTAGAAATATGAGAGTCGATGCAACAAACGCATCGATTCCAGCGCGAGCCCTCAGGGCCCATGTTGAGGTCAACCTCGTAACCCCTGCAATGGAGGGACAACCCACTGATGCGGAGGGTAAGGTGTTGTGTGTGTGTTGTTGATTATTATTATTATTATTATTATTATTATTTTGATATTTTTTTTTCCGGTGCCAATTCGCCGAATAGTCATCCAGTCAATATTTGTCGAAATGACCCCAATTGGCCGAAGAGTCCGGAATTTGTCGAACTGTCCTCGTAGTGGCTCCCAGTTACCGGTCGTTTGGGTTGGAAAGGGTGGATTCCTTGGTTAGCTACTATACAGGTAAATGCATCCACTGAGAATTGCTCCCATGTCTTCTTTTCAGATTTCCCCTAAAGGAAGCCAACTACGGATTCATAATTTGTTGGTTGTTCCCAGACACCTCTTTTAGTCAGAATTGTTGATTCCCGCCCAATTTATACTTAATCCCAGGGGTGGTTGTCCCCAAGTCCCCAAAAGAGAAACCCTTGGGTTTGAGTCTACTTTGGGGCAATCAACAAGTGCAGCCTTCTGGGCATTCGGGAGCTCTGCGGGAGCTTAGCGAGCTCTGCCATCTTTTTAGAATGCCCAGTCAGGGGTATGGTTTTCATGGGATTCTAAGACGCCGGTTCCGATTTGCACTGAAGTTGACTGCTATTGGGTTGGATCTTTAAACTTTAACTTTTTTGGTTGAAATCAAGTTGGGTTTTCCACTAAACCCCCAAACAGTTATTCACTTTTTGCAGGGGGGTTCGCCAGCAACCAAGTGAAGGACATTCCTGTGGAGCATCCGAGTTCGGAGCCCATGGGTTGAAACCCATGGGCCCTGTGCGCCAGTTCTTTTTGTTTAGCCAAACCAACTTGGGCTGACAAAACCATGAGACGTCTCGAGGTGCATGCTGTGCCTGAAGTGTTGTGCTTGGTGCTTCGAGTATTACTCGTGTAGCACCTATTCATATTGGGTGTGTCTTTCTTGCGTGTATGCCTTTTTTGGTGGTTTGAAGGGAAACCACAAGGAACGCCAGCCATTTTGGGGGTCCAATCTGAAACAAGACGCCCTATATACCCTTGGGTCACCCTTGAATGACAAAGCTAACTCCACTAAGTATGTAGGTTATACATAATCTCCCAGCGGTTAGGAGACGTTTTCAGCGGCCGAGAATGACGACAAGATCATGATGCGCCGCCTGAACCAACAGATACGCCCCGTATCTCCGCGGAGGGTCGATATTGCCGGGGTATCAGTTTTAGGTGAACCCCTATCTGTTTTGCCGGTCGGGTATTGGAGTGGGCAGTCTATGTTCTATCGGTTTCTGGTGGCAGGGCGTCGGTTTGCCGCTAGCTTCTCTTTAAACAACGAACCAGGCAAAAGGGGTCCTAAGACCCATCCCATCTGGTTTCCTTTAGTGGAATCCCTAGGTTCATTCCCAACAACCTTCTAGGGGTTGATTCCACATTCTTTTTAACCATCGTTCTTTCCAAAAACAGGATCCGTTTTCCCTCGGTTTCAGGAGGTTTTCTAGAAAGAAGGATCCCTGGAAAGAATGGAAACGGAAGGTACCTTAGCCAACAAAAAGTGACTTTTAGCGGGGGATCTGAAAACGATCAGCCTAGTTATTCTAGGGCTTGATTCCAACCATTCTTTTCAACCATTCTTTTGGTTTGTGGATGGTTTCCTCAAAAAGATTCGGATCCCAAGAATGAAGAAGGTAGCCCTTGAGATTTCCCTTTTCCATTTAGTATCTATGGGAACCAGCCTTTCGAAACCGCGGGAAGCCTATAACCGGGACGAGGTTTCGTATCCTGGAGCGACTTCCAGCAGACTCGCAGATGAATCGGCCTCAATGCGAGAGGAAGCTTAGTAAGGGATAGTCCTAGCCATAAATGTGTGCGGATATTCCGCCCTCTTAATCTTCAATGACTTTGGGTATGCCGTTAAAATACCAGGTTATGATCATGGCTCATCTTGGTGCCCATGTTGGGTCGCGCTTTCGCATTTTGTTTTAAGAATTTTATTCGAGCGAGAGGGATGAGGGTTGCCCTGAGCAGTTGGGCCTTTTTTGTCCAACTTCCAGACTGCAACTGCAGGATCATGGCTCATCTTGGTTCCCATGTTGGGTCGCGCTTTCGCATTTGTGTTTTAAAAACATGATTCGAGCGAGAGGGATGAGGGTTGCCCGGAGCTGTTGGGTCTTTTTTGTCCAACTTCCAGTCTGCAACTGCAGGAACTGTGAGGCCAAGTGACAGGTTTCCAGACGTGTGTGTGTATAATTATATATATACATATATATATATATATATATTGGACCCTTCCCCCAAACACCAACAGTCCACAATTTGGAAGACCATTTGAGTGGTGGTTGATCTAAATGTCCATCATCCGCTGCTGCTGGGTGGGGGCAGGGTCCAATGTATATATGATTCCCGTCAATCGTGCTGTTCAAAGACAATCCTTGATCCACATGCCAGATGGTGTGGTAGTGATCCACCACGTTTGCAAGTTGGATTCATAATGTCCCCCCCACCCCCAATTTTTCACAACCCAATTCAATTGGTGGCTTGAGAGTCCATATTTTTGGTGAGGCGATGCATCAGCAACGTGTGGAGAAGGGGAGCCTGAAATGTCTCTCACGCCTGGGATTGCTTTTTTGGATTCTGGCAAAGGCAACACTGAGAAGAAGCGGAACCAGCACATCAAGAAGATGCAGTCCCTCTTTGAGGCGGGTTTGGCTTCGTCCGACTTCCCAGGCCGATTTTGCAAGGGCTTTCTCTATAGGAATCTGGGCTTCGGCCAACTTTAGTCCGAGCAAACCAAACAAAATAAGCATCCCTCATGTTTCCAATGTGTAGACTTCGTGGTTCCCAGCCATCCGGTTCCTTTGGTTTTTAGATGGTTTTATCATTTTTGTTGTTTGGTTGGGTTTCCAGTTAGCCCACAAGTTCAACTTGTTAGCAAGGGATCGATAAAGGGACAGCCCAGTAGAAGGGTCTGTGAAAACCCTGTTCGGGCTGGGAAAACCTAAGCCACCAGTTGTTCGTTACCTGCCTGAAGCTAAATTCCCAGGGTGGATTTGTTTTTTTTTGGTTTATCTCAGCGTAGCTTGAGACTTGAGGTGTGCATCTCTGTCGCCGCAAGAACTGACGGGCAAAAACACCAATGACATCTACGAGTTGAGCAAACAGTGAGACCTGACACGCTTACGGCTTTCAGGGTTCCCGAGGTATTCACTGTTTTGCTTTATTTTGTTGGGGGGGGGCTGTTAAAAGGAATTTCTGTTCTCGTTGCCACCATGGCGACCATCCGGGTCGGTCGGCTGAAGCCGTGCCTTTTTAATTTTGAAGGCTGCAAGGGGCATGTGAGTTTCCGGGTTCTGGGTTGCAACTTGGTACATCATACTTATGTAGGCGGCAAGCTAATTACATGGTTGTTGTTGGGAAACATTTTACATGTTTGCCTAATTATTGTGGCTTAGTGGGAAATCCCCACTTAACTGCTAACATTTATATTTTTGCTCCCCTTCCAACGTCAACCAAGATTACATCATTTTTCTTGCTGAACCCACAGGGTCCGTTTTAAAGGAACATTGTCTTCCGTGTTTGTGGCTGGGGGGTTTTGTATCGTCTGGCCAATGAGTTGGGCCTTGAACAAAAAAAGACGGGAGCATCTCAGGTGCGTGCCAGTGACGGCTGACTGAAAGGGTACAGGTGTTCCTTGAAGCTGCTTGCTCGATTCGAAGCTTAACTTACCTTCTTGCTAGCATGCGCACCAGGTCTTGGATGTCGATGAGTCAAGCATGCTGTATGTGCAGAAACACGGCAAGGTCCAAAGCATGTTTTCAAGGGATAGCAGGAATTTGAGATGGGAATTGATGGCGGGGCTCTATGTTGGTCACCAGCTTCCAGGTACGATTATTTCTTCCCTGGACCCTCAAACTTGACTTGACAGTGGGGTAATGCTCCAAGATGATGTGGTGAATTCCTCTTTGTTGATGCGTAGTTGGGTCAAGGAAGGTCTTCTTGTTTGTGAGGCAGAGCAAATGTACACCAGCAATGGCTCCTTGCTTCCTATGGTTCCCTCCAGGGCCGGGGCCACCTATATAGGCGACAAAGCGACTAAGGCAGTCGGGGATTTTGGGGCAACAACCCATTTCCAAATGGATTTTTTTCAGGGTCCAGGCAGTCAGATTCTTTGTGGTGCTTCTTTTTTGGGACACCCCCCCCCTTCTTTGGCGCGCCCGTGTCAACCATGGGATTGCTAAGGGCTTAATTGTGAGTCTTGGAACACATTCCGCTTCATAGTCTTGGACTGCATAAGCCTTCGCGACCTAATGCTGCTGTGGATGGACGAAATCCTGCACTCCGAAACCTAATTGAAACCGCCGCACAAACCATGGACTAAAGCCGACTCGACCGCACCCCCCCCCCTCCCCCCTCAGAATCCGGTTTAAAAATATAAACCCCAGAACTTATAAATTCCAACTTTTTGTATGGGTATATGGTTTGAGAGTTCAGAATGGTTGAAACCATAGCGTTTGTTGGTACGTACGTTCGGGAATCGAATCATTCCAGGGTTTCTGACAGGTGGGGCAGGATTTTGTCCATCCACAGTAGTTTTGGACTGAATAAGCCGTAGCGAATAAATGCTAGATTCGGGAAGCCAGGAACAATCACCCCTGCTTGATCTTTTTCGGGGGTCTCACGTTTGAGGGGGGTCTGTACTTTGGCAAATACCCGCCTATGAACTTACCAGTTTGAGAAATCCGACGACATTACTGTTGTGACCGTTTGGGGGAAACACCCTCTGACCAGCTTGGATTCATCAGTCAGTTGGGTGTGACTTTTCGAGGCTACTTTGTTTTTTGTAGTTTAATCCCCACCCAACCCCCCCTCCAAAAAACAAAAACGGGCTCCACTCGCCTCGACTCGACTGGACCTGCGAGTGAGTGGCTTCCGTTTTTTTCGTGGGTCCCTTAAAGAAGACACAAGTCCGACATGTGGCTCCACGGGAACGTGATGCTTGAGGTGTCTCTGGTGGTTTGGACGAATGGTTAAATGACATGCTTCAGAGTCCCAAAGCCCCGCTTTGTAGGCCTTTGGGGGTCGATTGGGCTCCTGGAGTATGGACTTATTACTTTTTAAGAGCACCGCACAACCCCATTTCGTACCTCCTTTCAGAAACCCGGGAACTATAGGTTTTCCCGGTAGATACCGTAGCAAACGTGATGGTTTCAATCATGGTCTCACTTCGTGGTGCAAAATGGGTTTCGTCCATCCCTGGTAATTTGGGTGAATTTGAGCTTTGGGGAGCCGAACCAATTCGAGGCGGCAGATGAGACGGGGGACGGGCTCCTGGACAAAGAGGAGTTTATTCAAGTGCAGCTCGGTGAAAATAAACTGAATTTGTTGTCGGTAGGTCGATGTTTTTCTTTTGGGACATTGGGCCCCACTCACCAAACCTTACCGACCTGAAGGCGGGGAGGTGGTCCAAGGTGGGAGGGGCATATTGTAGAGTGCATCGGGTACTGCTGTAAATGCACTTTGTTGGTTTTTGTTCCCCGGACAACCATCGAACACATGGGGTCTTTGCGACAGGTTTAACACAAATCCTGCCTGAAGCTCCCAATTTGCTGTTCCTGACCTAGGGTTCTGCCGGTTCCACATGGCAATGTCCCCTTGGTGACAAACGTACTTGGATGTTCAACCTAAGTAACTCGACCCTGAAACTACCTATAAGTTTGGGGCAAGAACCCATTTCTGAGTTGGGATATTGAGGGTCCAGGTAGGTTATAGCGACATCAACATCAACCAGCTGTTGCGTCACCTAACCCAGAACCAAATCAAATAACTGTGGTTTTCGTCTAGAACCTACTTGCTTTTCGGTTGCACGTGACGGTCCTACTGTGGATGTATCAATTGATGTTTCGTTTAGATGGAAATCCTTCCTTCACGTGAGCCTTTGGCATCCTGTCAGCGGAAAAATCCGAGGCGTTAGGGCTCCTGAAGATCAATTTGGGGGTTGATCAAAAGGTCTGTGATACATGGTATGACCATTGGTTGGGAAACCACTAAAACGATGATATTTCAACCAGCTGGAGTCCCCATGACCCTTGAACGATGGGGATCCTTACCCTAAATCAAGGGGTTATGACCCCTTTTTCTAGGGGTATGGAGACTCTAGTCACATGGGAAACGCTGCCCACGGTCAAAACTGGGGGCCGAAGGGAATATCGATCAACCCCATGTGTCTTTGTGTTCGGGCAAAGAAAGGAGGGAGCCGTCCAACGAGGAAGGGGGGGGGATTGATTGCCAAGCAAATCCCTCTTACGCGGGTGAGCTATGGGAAGAACCCACGTCAATATTTGAAAGGGTATTGTTCCCACAATGTAGGGACCTGGACTTAAAGAACTGCCCAGAAGATAGGATTGGAACTCAGCAATTCCAGAGCTTTGCGGTTGCAATAGCTTGTGTTTAAGGGAGTCTCCAGGTGAAGATATATATATATATATAGTATTGGTATTTTTTAAATGTTGGTAAGCCATGCTTAAGGTTTTTTCTTTGGGTGGGGGGTCCAGGGACAACCAACTGCCGCGACCCCAGGATGAGCGACCCGGAGATCGTGAATTGGCTGGCGGCGATGGATTTGCAGATCTCGGACCCGAACCAACTGCTGCTCGTCGAGGGGGTTGATCCCTTTGGGCAAATCGATTTGGCCCAGTGACTCCATTTCTTCCATGTGCTGAAATGTGTTTTTTCTTTATTATTATTATTATGATTATATGATTTTGCCTTGTTGGTTTCAAAAGGAAATTATCAGTATTGGGCATGGTTAGTTCCTTTTTTAGAGAGGCCTTGCCTTCAATTCTTGAAGCATGGTTCTGGGGATCGGCCATTTTCACCGGGCTTGATGGTGACTCCATTCCCCCATGCTAGGTCACCAACGTTGGAGCTGCCCTGGACAAAAACCGAAAAACCGAACCATGGGATCCACTGGGCGGGTGTGGGTCAAAATTTTGGTCTGGGGGACCGCAGGAATTTCCGTCTTTGGTTCCATGTACCAGGGCAAGCCATTTTGGGGTTACCCTATTTTTGACCCAGAGCCGTCTACACGTGCAAAAAAGAAGCAAAACATCGGGTGAGGCGGGCCACGATTTTCCCAGCCCAGGGTGCAGAGCCCTTCAAAGCAAAAGCCTAGAAAAGACATGAGAACTGGACGCCTGGGGTCCAATCTGCGCGAAGCAAGCTAGCAGCCCTTTTTCAGGGTCAACGTTTAACTCAAATGATAAACACAAATTAAGTTTGGGATTCAACATTGGACATTGGCCATTGGTCATTGATTCAAAAGGTTGTTCCCAGAATCCCCCCCACCATGTGGAGCAAACCGGATTACCCCAGGATTTTGTGGCATGGGCTTCTCCTTAAAATCAAGCCACCATCCCCGCTGGGGTAGACTTAGGATACATCAAACATGCTTACCAGTGACTCAAAGTGAAGCAAACAATAACATATGAGCCACGGACAAAACACACGAAGACCACTTTATCAAGGCGGGGTACGTTTTTGCATAACACATGCCAAAACCATGCAAAACGATAAGGTCTCCCCCAAAAACGATAACCCTTAGCTAACACACGGCTCTATAATAACCCCTGCAGTTGCAACTTAGCTAGGGTGGGACCCTTGCGTGGCCACCGTAAAACGAGAAGGCGAGTCGCCACTTTCGAGCTGGAGCTGCCAAGGTGTGCTTCGTAAATACAACACTTGTACTGAGAAGTTGCGATTTTCGAGCTGGAGCTGCGGAAGTGTACTTCGTGTACTAGACTTGTACTACAAAGTTACAACTTTCGAGCTGGAGCTGCGGAAGTGTACTTTGCGTACTAGACTTGTACTACAAAGTTGCGATTTTCGAGCTGGAGCTGCGGAACTGTACTTCGCGTACTAGACTTGTACTACAAAGTTGCGATTTTCGAGCTGGAGCGCTGTGGAAGTGTACTTCCCGTACTGGACTTGTACTACAAAGTTGCGACTTTCGAGCTGGAGCTGCGGAAGTGTACTTTGCGTACTAGACTTGTACTACAAAGTTGCGATTTTCGAGCTGGAGCTGCGGAAGTGACTTCGCTTACTAGACTTGTACTACAAAGTTGCGATTTTCGAGCTGGAGCGCTGTGGAAGTGTACTTCCTGTACTAGACTTGTACTACAAAGTTGCGATTTTCGAGCTGGAGCTGCGGAAGTGTACTTCGCGTACTAGACTTGTACTACAAAGTTGCGACTTTCGAGCTGAAGCTGCGGAAGTGAACTTCCCGTACTAGACTTGTACTACAAAGTTGCGATTTTCGAGCTGGAGCTGCGGAAGTGTACTTCGCGTACTAGACTTGTACTACAAAGTTGCGATTTTCGAGCTGGAGATGCGGAAGTGTACTTCGCTTACTAGACTTGTATGGAGCTGCGGAACTGTACTTCGCGTACTAGACTTGTACTACAAAGTTGCGATTTACTTCGCGTACTAGACTTGTACTACAAAGATGCGATTTTCGAGCTGGAGCGCTGTGGAAGTGTACTTCGCGTACTAGACTTGTACTACAAAGTTGCGACTTTCGAGCTGCGAGAGCTGGAGCTGCGGAAGTGTACTTCGCGTACTAGACTTGTACTACAAAGTTGCGATTTTCGAGCTGGAGCGCTGTGGAAGTGTACTTCCCGTACTAGACTTGTACTACAAAGTTGCGATTTTCGAGCTGGAGCTGCGGAAGTGTACTTTGCGTACTAGACTTGTACTACAAAGTTGCGATTTTCGAGCTGGAGCTGCGGAAGTGTACTTCGCGTACTAGACTTGTACTACAAAGTTGCGATTTTCGAGCTGGAGCTGCGGAAGTGTACTTCGCTTACTAGACTTGTACTACAAAGTTGCGAGTTTCGAGCTGGAGCGCTCTGGAAGTGTACGTCCTGTACTAGACTTGTACTACAAAGTTGCGATTTTCGAGCTGGAGCTGCGGAAGTTTACTTCGCGTACTAGACTTGTACTACAAAGTTGCGACTTTCGAGCTGGAGCTGCGGAAGTGAACTTCCCGTACTAGACTTGTACTACAAAGTTGCGATTTTCGAGCTGGAGCTGCGGAAGTGTACTTTGCGTACTAGATTTGTACTACAAAGTTGCGATTTTAGAGCTGGAGATGCGGAAGCGTACTTCGCTTACTAGACTTGTACTACAAAGTTGCGATTTTCGAGCTGGAGCTGCGGAAGTGTACTTCGCGTACTAGACTTGTACTACAAAGTTGATTTTTTCGAGCCGGATCTGCCAAAGTTCGAAAACACTGTATAACGATAAGGTCTCCCCCAAAAACGATAACGTTCAAAAAAGTACTAGGGCCAAGTAAAGTGTTTCGTCCGCTCCTCATATACATTCTATAACTGGGCCTAACTCTACTCATGCCCTTTGGTGTCTGGTGGTTTTTGGTTGGTTTAGCGGTTGGGTTTCCATTTCACCCACGAAAAGTGGTCGACGTGCAGGGGCTCCGAGGCCAGCCCGCAAAAATGAGCATAGGTCATGTCTTAGCTTTCATTTGGTTAAGGATCTCAGTTGTTCAGTGGCACCCTTTTTCCCTTTTTGTTTGGTGGCTGCCCCACTAAAAATGGTCTTCCCCAAAAAGGGTTCCCTTTTTCAGGGTCTCTGAACAACTGAGGGATATTTGGTATTTTCCACCTTTGGTTTTAAAGGGAATCGATTTCACTACTGGAAATATTTTCCCAGGGGACTGAAGCAAATGGAGGTTAGCAAGCAACGCGAGCATCCCTAGCCCTAATGAGTGTAAGGGGGTGTCCCCACTACTCCAGGGGACGCTTCCCCATTCTTTCCAGGGATCCGGATCTTTCCAGAAAACCATCAGAACCCCAGCAGAAACAGCTGGTTGTTGAAAAGAACGATGGTTGAAAAGAATGGACACGGAATCAACCCCTAGAACTACTTTGAACATAAATTCGAGACCCCTGCGGAGGCGCAAGGCCAGTAATGTGTGACCCCTCCAAAACTATGCAACAACTGTTGGAGCTCCTGGACTGTCAAAATCCTTAAAACACATGCGTTTTGCTCATTCTTCTGGGGTGAACTTTTTGCAATGGGTAGTTTGAGGGTCCAGGTTACAGTTTTTAGAGTAAACCAATCACACAGAAGCATAACGGTCAGGATTTCCTGTGTGCCGAAAGGGCAAGTTGTAGGAACAAGGGTGTGGAGGTCCCTCTCCCACCCTTTGCCTTGGGGTCGAGTTTTTGGGTGGGTCTTTTTTTGCAGGTCGGCCCCCCAAAATGACGGGTTTTCATGTTGGGAAGGGTTATCAACTTCAAAACCCATTGTTTGGTTCACCTGGACCCTCAGAATTTCCTGAAAACCTGCGATCTTGCCCCCAAAATTATGGACTGGCTGAATTCCAGCATGTTTTTTTTAATATTTGTTTTTCTCGTTTGGTCCACTTCTTCGTGTGGCGTTTTCGTGGGGCTACCTCGAGCCGGGGCTCGACACCTCGAACCAGTTCGCGCGAGGTTTGAAATGGTGCAGCACGACGGCACCATCAGCGCCCCGCAGCTGGTGGGAGGTGTGAGCCGCCTGAAGGGCGCCGCCAGGAGTGCCGGGAGGACTCGGAGGCGTTGAGGGCTCCAGGTCTCAGTGGCAACCAGTGGCTCCAATGATGGTTCTCTTTTTTTTGGTGGCTGCCCCACTAAGAATGGTCCAAGCCCCAAAAAAGGGTTCCCTTTTTTTTTCCAGGGTCACTGAACAACTGAGAGGTAGAACGGGTGTCCACACCCTTGATTGGGGGAGGGGTGAATCGGGGTTCGATCTCGATTGGCAGCCCGAAAGGTTTTTTTTGTGTTTAATGGGGAAGGCTATATAGATAACTTGGTGGCTCGCAGCCATGCGCTTTCCTAGGCTTTTTAGCTTTTTAGCTGTTTAGTGGTTGGTTTTCAATTTCGCGGGGGATCTGAAAACGACTCGAAGGACTTTGGAGGCTTCGAGGGCTCCGGGGCCCTGGTTGTTCTCCCAGCCTGAGGTCATGCCCTAGGTTTTCCAGTAGTGCACTTTTACCAAATTGTGAGGGAATTTTGAGGGAAATCACCACAGCTGTTGGGTGTAGGAGGATGTCCCTGGCTAGGTCCCCCAGCTAGGTGAACCGGGGGAGGGTTCCCCTCGTAAAATCGACTGCAGCGAAAAGTTGGGCTTGCCTTGTTCCACTGTACTGGAGGACCTGGATGCCTGGATGCCTCAAGCAAAGGGAATTCAGCCCAGAAGGTTGGGCGGTATTTTCAATTTCAAAGGGAATTTTGAGGGTCCAGATAGGTACCAACCCCTGTCCCACTTATATCTCTGGTCATACTGTGGATGGTTGGGAAATCTGCTTCTCGCACCACGAAATGAAACATTTCTTGGAATTTGCAAGTCGGAATCATCATTCCAGGCTATTTTCAAGTGGTGCAGGATTTCGTCCATCCACAGTAGGGGGGGGCTGTCGCCCAGATTCCCACCAAAAGGGTCACCCCCGCAAATCAGCGTGGTGACCGGAATTCCATTAGTTCCATTCCGCCCCCGTTTCGCAGGTAGGAGGATTTCAAGTAGGGTAGACCCATTGCAAGTAGGTATGCCACAAGCGTGGTAACCGACTTGCTACATAGGGTACCAGCAACATCCCGAAAATCCCTGCCCCAACATTTGAGCTACCAACAACTCGAAGAAACCCTTCCCCTCAACCGTTAAGGCTTGTGTTGGCGCAAGTTTGGGCGCAAGTTTGGACAGGTTTCAATGCTCGTCTTGTCACTGGCCTAAAGCGAATCGACCGGATCTGACCTCGTGGTCTCCCGAACTTATTCCATTTGGTTAAGTTTTGTTTGTCTGAATTTTGTTTTATCCCCTGTTGGTTTTTCAAGGGAATCTATCACTACTGGAAATATTTGTTTTTGGGGACTTAAACAAATGGAGGACTCGGTTTACATTTTTCGTCATGGCCCAAGATGATCACCTCGTATTGCTTCGGCATGTCCAGGAGCACCGACATGCACTGTGTCTCAGCAGAAGTGAAACAGATCCATGACGACCTCAAGTCCGTGTGCTTCGGCTGCAGGATGAAGGCCTACAGATAAAGATAATGTTGACCCAGGATTAATAAACCCGTCCGTCACATTATTAGGGGGGTGTTCCCTGCAAAAGTGATGAATCCCCACTAAAAGTGGACACCCCCTATTAATCAACCAGGGGTTTATTAATCCGGGGTTAACATTACAGGTTAAACTTGCTGGTGCGATAGGTAGGGAATGAGAAATGGAATGACCCCTATACACCAGAGCACCAGCAAGTAAAGGGCACTCTTGCGTTCGCTCAGTTGATTTGTGTTGGCTTTTGGGTACCTGGACCCTCAAACTACTCAAGAAGGGGATTCACCAAACACAACGACCTTCAACAATCCAACTTAAAAATGGAGGGGTATTTATTTTAGGATTTGTTTTTTCGTTTTTTTTTTTGGATTTTTTTTTTCGCTTTTGGCTTCTCGGCTTCTTGGCTTCTTGGCTTCTTGGCTTCTCGGCTTCTCGGCTTCTTGGCTTCTTGGCTTTTCGGCTTCTTGGCTTCTTGGCTTCTCGGCTTCTGGGCTTCTGGGCTTCTTGGCTTTGGCTTCTTGGCTTCTTGGCTTCTTGGCTTTTCGGCTTCTTGGCTTCTCGGCTTCTGGGCTTCTAGGCTTTTCGGTTTTTTGCTGGTTTATGCGGCTTTTGATGGCTTTTTGGCTTTTCGCATCCTCTGCATTCCCAGTTCCTCTTCGGCAGGTGGCGTTTTTCCGACATCATGGGGGGGGGCTGCCGCCCCCCCCAACCCCCCCGCTACGTTTTAGATTTTCTGCAGAGATTTAATTAGTTGCACCCCTAGTTGAATCATCAATTCTTCGAACATCATGGGGGGGTTGCACCCCTAGTTGAATCATCAATTCTTCGACCATCATGGGGGGGGCTGCACCCCTATTCAAATCATCACTTCTGCAAACAACATCGTGGGGGGGGCTGCCGCCCCCCCCAACCCCCCCGCTACTTTGCCCTTCAATCATCATTTCTTTGACCCCGTCACACGATTTGTGGGTGATGCTAGGGATGTTGGTGGGACATGCGGGGGATGTTGACGGGCTAGTGTAAAATGCGTCAATTTCGCGAGAACATGCTGTAAAATACGACACTTTACTGGCCCGGCAGAGATTGAATTGCACCCCTGTTTGAATCATCACTTTTTCGAGCGTCCAATTTCGCGAGAAAATGCTGCAAAATACGACATTTTAGGTAATCTGTGTAGTCCGTGTATGTCTGTATGTATGCATTTCTTCGAACATCATAGGGGAAGCCACCCCCGCCAACCCTCCCGCTGCCTCTTAAATTCTATCACACCCTTTCTTGAATCATTGCACCCCTACTTGAATCACCACTTCTTCCGACATCATGGGGGGGGCTGCCCCCCCCCCAACCCCCCCGCTACGTTTTAGATTTTCTACAGAGATTTAATTAATTGCACCCCTAGTTGAATCATCAATTCTTCGAACATCATGGGGGGGGCTGCCGCCCCCCCCAACCCCCCCGCTACTTTTTAGACTTTTTGCAGAGATTTAATTGCACCCCTGTTCGAATCATCACTACCCCGCTCTGTTTTCTTAATTGTTTTTTTGTATTATTTTTTGCTGGGATTGAAATGCCCTCCTGTTTGAAGCATTATTGTTTTGACCCCGTCAACCCGCCAGCCACATTTTTGGATTTTGTTACCCACGATTTGTTGGTGATGCTAGGGATGTTGGTCGGACATGCGGGGGATGTTGAAAACGATGCTGGGGATGTTGACGAGCTAGTGTAAAATGCGTCAATTTCGCGAGAAAATGCTGTAAAATACGACATTTTGCTGGCCCGGACGAAAAACGAAAAAAAATCCCAAAACAAAACGAAAAAAAATCCCAAAATAAATCCGCACCCCTTAAAAATTGAGTTTGTTTGGTGAATGTTTACTTTTGTCTGGGTAGCTGGACTCTCACAATTTTCTTAAACATGGGAATTCATCCCATAATTTTGGGTTGACATAATCCAATTGTTCAACGCTTGGAGGGTCCAGGTAGTTCTTTCGATTCGGTTCAGACCACCCGAAAGCAAAAATGGGTTCCTGGAGTCTCCTTCCGACCCTTAAAAAGTTGTTGGTCGGTACCCCAAAATATTTCGGGGTCATGGGCCCATGTTTTAAAGCAAAACTCCAATTGATCAGAGGAACTTTGAGGCTCCAAGTAGTTCTGGGGTGTTAGAGTCTCCATCGCCCTTTAAAGGTCATTACCCAAAATTAAGAGGTTATGACCCCATTTTTGTAAGGTCACGTGCAACCCTAAACCTAGGACTCAAGTATATTCTGGTTTCATGAACTTAGTCAAGGGCAGACCTAAACCAAATCTCAAAATAACAACATCACAAAGGGGAAACTCGTCCCATATTTATGGGTTGCAATCACCCATTTGAGTTGGACCTTTCAGGCTCCACGATGTAAGAAGCTCGCTCTGGGGGGCCTGATCACATGCGCCAAGCAGTTGCTATATGGCAGGGACGGGACCCGAAAAAGCTCCCAGCCATGGGTCGCAACCCGTTGCTTGAGGGTTCCTAGTCTCCATTGACCAAGCATACGTGTGACACACTGACTTAATGGTTGAGCGTAGCTGCGAATGTAAGCTTGATGAATGGAATGCAATCGATTCATGTTGTTTCAACAAGCACCTTTTTTGGTGTTGGTTTAAAGGCAAAACAAAGGGAACACCATCCATTTTGGGGGTCCTCTAAAAACACACACACACACACCCATATAAACGTGTGTGTTTTGTTTCGAGCACCGGCTTTAGGGTGTGTTTTAAAGGAAGTCGTTCATTTTAAGACTTGCCAAATTGCGGGCCGAACCATGTGTATACATATAATACATACACATATCCATATCACAATCATACACATAGATTATCCTAATCTTACCCCCCCTATTAATGAATGCCCCCAATTATTAAAAACAATCGAAATCCGGGGCCCGGGACCAGATTTCCACTCCCACAAGTGATTTTTAATTGAGCCAATACTAAACCGGGCCCTTACTAAAGTCTTGGAATCCTTATTAGGGGGCACTTTTAACAAGCTTCCAGCCCTACTTTTAAAAAGGTGGGTTCCCCAAACGGTTGTTTCCCCAAAAGGTGGGTTCCCCTAAAAGGTTGCTTCCCCAAAAGGTGGGTTCCCCAAAAGGTTGCTTCCCCAAAACGTGGGTTCCCCAAAAGGTTGTGCAAACAAAACCTGCCTGGCTGCAAACAAACAACCAGTAAACTGAAAAGCACATAGAATGATACATAATATTTCCTTATTAAACCGCTTACTCGCGGACCTTACAATTCAATCCATTTCCTCCAAATCCTATGTGAACCCTCACATTGTGGGAAAAACAACAAAACCAACCCCCAAAAACCCATATATATGTATATATTGTTGGGATGTTTTGTATATATATATATAATTGGGGGGGACCCGTATTTATTAATAGGGGGTGAGATTATTAAACATTTTGTTGAGGTTCACCTTTTCTAAAAGAACAAAGGACGCTTGGCCTACTTTGGCATGTCCTTGAGGAAGGTGTAGAGACTGATCAAAGGCAGGCCTAAGGGCCGAAGGCCGAACAATTGGACAGGGTTGAATGAAACCATGGGAAGGAATCCAGAAGGTTTTGTTGGCATTTACGTTGGGGAAACAAAGCATTTTTTGGGGGTGTTTCTGAAAGTTGGTGCGAAATGGATTTCGCAACCATCCGCAGGGATTCCATAAGAACCAGCTATAGCTTTGGGACGTCCCGCTGGCGTCCGAAACAAACGTCTCGACACCTAAGGCCCGGTCCGTTTGGCTTTTGCGGGTTGGGTATATGTTGAAGGGGTCCATTGGTTTATGGCGGCGCTTTTGAGCACCAGGGTCCCTCAACTTACCTCTTAAAAACACAACTGTTCAACTTTTTGGGTAACATGGACTATATGTCTGTAAAAGATTAACTTCCCCAGGGCTTGGAGTTTTAAGGGGTAAGTCAAGGGACTCTTTCAAAGCCTTTCTGAAGGCAATGTACCTGGTGTCTCGATCCGAAATGGGCCATGACTTGTTGAATCCATGTCCACCCCGTAGCGTACGCATCCAATCCATGCCCACTTGTAGAAACCTGGGAATGATTCGATTCCCGGACGTAAATACCTTACCAAACGGGATGGGTTCCTTCCCAAGGGTGGTGCGAGAAGTGGATGCCCAGCCATCCACGTGCACCGTATAATTGGTTTAGGAATATCCGATGTCGACAATACTTTACGTGGGCTGCCCTCAGATCCCCTGCTAGTAGTCGAAAACGTATGGGTTAAATGCAGCTTCACCATTCAACCAACTCAACACCATCTGCCTGGACCACACCATGTGCTTGAAATCTGGGATATTGCCCCAAATGTACTTGCATTCAACCTTCTTTGTGGGTAGTTCTTTCGGGTCCATGTAAAACCCACTGGATCAATCCCACCGATTCCATGGAGAAAAACCGAGGCATGCGCACCTTCGAGCTGCGCCGCCGGGCGCTTCAAAACATGGTCGACTTGTATCGTTGTTTTTCTTTGTTTTTCTCTGCCTGGGACTTCCCATGAGATGACTTGCTATTTCTTTGGGTCAAGGTTGGCAACCACATGGCTGAATCTGTCATTTGCGCTGTCCATTTGCTTGGGCTGTTTTGGTTTCCGGTTGTACTGTTGGATGTTCACAAAATGAGTGGAGCAGTGTCAACCTTGACTGCTATTGGGTTGGATCTTTAGAATTTAACTTTTTGGGAAATCAAGAGGTTTTCCACTAAACTCCCAAGAAGTTAAGCTTTTTGCAGGGGGGGCTCGCCAGCAACCAAGCAGCTACGTGACGGCGTTTTGTTTGCGTCCCGATCCAGCAGCAACCGTCAACCTCCCCAAGAAGTTTCCTGCGGGGCTGAGTCTTTGGCTTGGAGTCCTTCCATTTTGATCTTTCTGACAAACCGGTAGCCTCCAAAAACAAAACCTGAGCCCTCAAACTAGGACCCGAAAGAACCACTTGTCCTGTTGTTTCTGTTTTTTTTGCGGGGGGGGGGGGTCTTGAACCCTCAAACCACCCAGAAAGAAAAGAATTGGAGTTCACCCCATTCCCTAATTTTTGGGGTTGCAGTCACCCATTTTTGAAGTTCGATTTTTGAGGGTCCATGATCTTTCTGACCTCCGGGTACCCATTCGAGGCCCAGGAATGTTGATCAACCGCCGCGATGGTTCTTTTCTCTTGACCATCCGACTCTACTTCGCGTCACTTCGGGTCATCTGTCATCCCCCTCGTGTGCTCGTCCCCAAAAACAAGCCAGACAAATGACTGTTCCGGGAATCTGTACGGGGTGGTAGGGTGCAAGGGCGGGGGGGGGCCCGACTGTTTAAGGAATCCAACCAGGGGATCCCCACAATTCTTTGGTTGGGTTTAGATTCGGAATCTGTATAGTCCAAGGGAAGGGCAGTTCTTGCATACCCCATGTTCGGAAGTGGATCGGATGACTTTGGAAGGCAACAAAAGTCCGCTTGTCTGCTTGTTGGAAAAGGAGTAATATTACAAAATTATAGGTAGTTGTATTTCTATTCCTCCTCCCCTCCCCCTTTCCAGAAGGTCAAACCTTAGATTACACAGGTTTGGGCGGGCAAGGTGCGGGAGAGTTGTAGGTGGCCGCGCTGCGGGATTGAGGATCCTGGAAACCAGATCAAGTCTTGTAACGGCCGGAGTTGAAATCAAGTCCCCATCCCAAGACTCCAAAAAAGTGGGCCTTTGACTCCAAAAGACCTCAGCTAACGTCGCGTGCGGTCTTGGGATCCTACTGAGGATGGTTGCGAAATCCATTTCGCACCTTGTAAGAAGCCCTGGCATGAGTCGATTCCCCTGTCTATACTAGACAAAACCTGGGTTTCAACCAGGGTTTCAATTCGTGGTGCAACAGCAACCATGCACAGTAGGGATGTTTTTTTTGTGTGGGACACTGGTCCAGCCGAACCCCGCCGTACGAATTTTGGGTAGTCCCGAAGGCCTGCGGAGTTCAGAATTGTTACCAAAAACGCGCCTGAATCATCGGTGATTTGTTTGTTCAAAGCAATGTTAGCATTTGTTCTGTATTACACGTTGGCAGGACCATCTCAGCGGTAGAGACAATCCTAGCCGTCTCTTGTTGGCAACACATTGAGGAAGTGAGAATTCTGAGTCCCCAAAATAATGAATGCATGGACCCATTTTTGAAGGGTCATGGAGACTTCAGGTCGGTTTTTTGGGCAATACTGTGGATGGACGAAATCCATTCGCACCACTTTGAAACCATGGTTGAAACAACTGTTTGTTGGTATCTACGTTGGGGAATCGAATCATTCCGTTAGGTTTCTCAGATGGTGCGAAATGGATTTCGCAACCATCCACAGAAATGTTGACCCATGATTAATAAACCCGTCCGGGTGTTCCCTCCAAAAGTGACGAATCCCCACCCCTTGTATCCTTGCAGCTTGAGGCTCTTCAACGGCGCAGCGCCGAACGCCGCTCCTCATCAATCCGTGGCACGCCTGTCAAAACTTCCACTTGCTCAACTGGGGTGGACTTAGGATACATTTTACATTTTGCCAGTGACTCAAAGTGAAGCAAACAATAATGTATATATATATATAACTGGGCCTAACTCTAATCATGTCAAGAATAGCTTGTTTCTTCCCCTAGCTTGTTGGTTTTAAATGGAATCGATCATTACTGGAAAGACTTTTGGGAACCAAGGTGGCTTAAGCAAATGGAAGAACGGTTCCGGATCAAACGACATGCCTTCCCCAGAATTAGCTCCCCTTTTTGCTTTGTTGTTTTTTTAGGGTCGTTTGTTTTTTACTAACCAGGCAACAACTATGTATATGTATATATAAATATATATTTTTGCTGGGGTCCTAGTTCCAGGCAAGATGCGAAGCTATAGTCAAAGCAATCCCTTACGATAGAGGATGTCCCAGACAAAAAGGGGAACCACCGCAGATTCAGCGGTTCGCTCCGGATACATCTGGACACAACATTTGGACTCGGTCCGCTTCGGGGGCATGCACTGGCCAGTACCCCTTACGTGTTTCGTGTATATGAACTTACCTCTAAAAAACACAACTTTTCAACTGTTTGGGTAACATGGGCTATATGTCTGTAAAAGATTAACTTCCCCCAGGGCTTGGAGTTTTAAGGGGTAAGTGAAGGGCGCCCTCATGGAAAGTTGGCTCAGATCGGCCGACAAACGTCTCAATGAAGCGCTTGGATGTTTCGAATGGCTGGCCAAGTTTGTATGTCAACACTACGTAATAACACGTTGAACTCCACATTCACGGGGGGGATATTTTAGAGGCGTATTCCCGAACGGTCGGGCAGCCTTGATGGCTGGTCGCTGGCCGCTCGTCCCTGACGATTTGGTTGGACATGGGATTGTACCTGGAGTCTCCGGATCTGGCCCAAATCAAACATGGGGGGTACCCAAAATCAAGAAATCGCACGCCAAGGAAGTTGTGACTCAATGAGCTAGAGCGTAGGTTGAAGCTTTGTGGATTTTCCATTGGACCCACAAAAGTGTTCAACGGGGACAACGGCCACCAAGCCACCAAGCTGTAGGGATCCAGTTTGTTTGCGCCCAGGCTGTAAGGATTCCTGGCCTGACAGCCCAGGTTGGCTTGCATTGTGCACCCGCAACCAACCCCTCCCGTGTGATGAAGCCGAACCTGTGCATAGGACTCCAATGCTTCCAGATAAACCACGTGGCAATCTGTTCATTGGATTTCTGACCTCAACCTTCGGGTTTCTTGCCCTCTATTGAACAAAAGGGCCTGGGACCCAATGTAGATGATGACACGGATGTTTTTTTTTGTTTGTTTTACATATCTATATATATATATATCAACAATGTCTTAACGGTGTTTTCGTTTCTCCCCGGGCGTTTTCGGTTTTACCCTTGGCCTCAACGGATTTTCTTTCCAAACAAAGTGGCTGGAAGGCCCGGGCCGGGCTCCTTCCCTCTAAGCCACCTGGACCCGAAAGAACTACCTGGCGTCTTCATAGCCCGTTAAAAAATGGGTCAATGTCCCCATGACCCGTTTTTGAAAGGTCATGGAGACTCCAGGCACCCCACCTGAGTCACAATGAAAATCCCGGGGTAAGTGAAGGTTGGTAAGGGACAATCCCAACCAGAAAGAGCTGCGGATATCCGCCTTCTTAATTCTTCACATGGTTCTGGGTCGACCATTTTAGTACCGGGTTTTGATTATGACTCACCTGGACCCGAAAGAACTACCCAAAACCACCTGGACCCGAAAGAACTACCTGGAGTCTCCACGACCCTTTTAAAAATGGGTCAGTGACCCCATGCTTTTGGGTAATGACCCCATTTAAGAGGATCATGGAAACTCCAGGTACAAGTAAACAAGCTGGAATTCACTCAACATACTGTGGATGGACGAAATCCTGCACCACCTAACAAGCCCTGGAATGATGATTTCCCTGTAAATACCACCAAGAAATTGCTTCCCATGGTTTCAAAGTGGTGCAGGATTTTGTCCATCCACAGTATCGTTGGGTTGCATTCACCGCTTTTCAAGGGCATGCTGAGGGGGTCAGGCACGTTTTTCCGATGCTTCTTGAGAATGTCACTGAATGCCCAGCAAACTACGTGCAACCTACCAAAACCAACGGGAAACCGCGCAAACCCCAATAGCATTTGATAGATGGAAACACAGATTCTACCAGCATACTGAACCCTCAAACTACCCAGTAAAAGGCAGTTCATGCCATAATTTGGGTCAATATCGCATGTTTAAGGGAATTGTGAGGGTCCAGGTAGATGGTTTTCAGTTGGTTTAGTGGTGGTTTCCGTATTTCACCCACAAGTTTTCCACTTTCAGCAGGCGATCTGAGGGCAGCCCACGTAAAGTGATGTTGACATACGTTGACTATTGATTTGGGTGTGGGTCAACATTAAGCCACCAGGAAAAAAACAAAAACGCGGGTTTTTTTGTCTTTGGTTTTTATTTACACGGGTTCCATTTTGGGGACCTTTTTGACCCAGAACCATTGGCTCCCGGTGGGTCATCCAATTCGCTGGCCGTTCGGCCGCTCGAATTAGGACCTGCTGCCCGTCCAGCCGGTGACAAGGAAGGAGTCACAGAGGGTGCTGCAGCTGCAAAAGCGGCGGATTCTTCCATGTGCTCAAGAGTATTTGCCATGTTCCCCTTGTTGGTTTTAAAAAGATAATTTTATCACTGGAAATGTGTATTTCCAGGTGGCTTAAGCAAATGGACGGTTTTGTGAACTCACTTGCTGAAAGCAAATCCACCTTTTCTTGACGATTCCCAGCTGTCTCCCTAGGTTTTGAGGTTTGTAGTTTAGATTTAGCCCACTAAAAGTTGTCGACTTGGAGCAGGGGATCCGAGGGCCCGATTTTGACTTTTAGTCTCTCCGTTTGTGCATGTGCAATTATTTGTCACCCAAGAAGGTCAACCCTTCATTCCTGGGTCCTTCGGGCAACTGATACGCGATACAACCCCAGTTTTACCCTGTATGTCACACCGGGATTCAAGGGAAAACCAGCCCGGTTGTTGACATTAAGCTCCAGAAGCATAGTGAGCTGCACAAGGAGTTGGGCAACCTTGTTTCAATCAGTTTGAGCGAGTTACTTTGGTCAATTGCAGCATGTTGGTTGTTGCCTGTACAGGCAACCCTGACCCAGAGAGCCCTAAGTACCCCATAATTACGGCTTTGGGTGGGGGATTCGTCAATTACAGACTCTCCAAGTCCTCAATTATGAGGTCCGTGGACCCTCTGGGTGAATTGGTGGTTTGGGATTTAAAACACAACAAAAACCGCCAATCCAAGCGACCCACTGGGAGGAATCTGAGGACTTTCAATATTTCTCAGACTTTGCAAGCTCCCCTCAAGCGTGTGACAGGCCTCATTCATCCCTTCTGGTTGCTTTAGTACTCATTGATCCGATCCCGAATTTTGAGGTTTCAGGGAGGGGGTGAGGTGAGGTTCAGCTACATGTGTTTGGTGGTCTTGGCTTTGGGCGGATGTCCTCGCGCTGGTGGCTCCGATCTGAGGTGCCGCCGTTGATGACAGAAATATGAGGCCCAAGGCGAGCCAGATGAGCCGGAAGGGGTCGTTAATGGGTCTTCATATCAAGTAAATGCTCAAGGTCGACGCAAGAAGAACCAACCCTAAAAAATGGGTGATTAACCCCAACAGTTAAGGTTGGACCAAACTTCCACCTCCATCTTAGGGTTTCTGGAGTACATTCAGGTTCGATGATGGTTGCTTGGTCAGATCAAGACGTGGAGAGTTGGCAATTGAATCGGATAGGGGAAGTCACCATGTGAGCCGGAAGCAATACCTGGCATTCTCCACCCACCATGTAAAGGATTGAAGGAAAAAAACATGGCGGTTTTTTGCACCCATTTGTGGCAAGGGGATCACCTTCATCTACCCGGGTTTCGATGGCTGTGAAGAGGATGCCCCGCTTTTGTGGGCTTCAAGTGAAACGAAAAGAAAACCATTCGGGGGCCTCAAAAAGACACGCCAGTGTACCAGTTTGCCTGAAGTTGCACCATTCTGATCTAAGCTTGGGCGGATTCTTCGCCCAAGCTTGGAGAGACGTGTTTTTTTTTCCTGGTTGTGCCGGGATCTTTTGAGATCTTTTGTGCGGTTCTTTTTCTGCTTGCGTTGGATCTTCAGCGGCTCCCTTCCTTAGACATTGGGCAAATTGCAACCCAAATTCTGGCGGTCTTACCCGGGTCGAGACCCCTAAAAGCCCAGTCAAGGCCCAGTGCTTGAATCGGTCGAGAACTTGAAGCTGGGAAACATGCAGCCCAAAGTTATCCTGGCGGCTCCCAGCCATCTTAGTTGTTTAGCTTTTGTGGGGTTTCGCATTTAGCCCACTAAAAGTTAAGCTTTTAGCGGGGGATCTGAGGACAGCTCAGTTATGGTTTTTGTGAATTCCAACTTTGTTATGGGTAGCTTGAGGGTCAAGCCCTTTACGCTCTTTGCAGTTCCGGGCTTGGAGGGTTTGCGTGGCTCGTTTCTTTTATCGTTGGATCTCCCCCAACGGCGCAACGGATCGCCTGGACCCTCAAGTTCCCTAAAAAATTGGTGATTGCCCCAAAATGGTGGGTGAATTGCTTTTTCGTGGGTTGTTCTTTCGGGTCCAGAAACGCTGAACCAGCAAAAGACACCAAAATCCAGCCGGTCAGATTGTTTTAGCTGGAGCCACGCAGCTGGTATCCAAATAGTTGAACCGCCTTCTTCCGATGCGGTTCAGGACCTACCAGGAGTGCTGGCTACTTGGGTGTTCGATTCGCCAAGTTAGAAAGTTGTTGGTAACCCAGGATACAACCCACTTCTAAGCCCCTGTTATGAGTGGCGGGTGGCTAACCCAGATAAAAGATCCGACTTAAGTACTAGCTTGGCAACGGGCATCCAAGTAGGGACATGGAACTATGGAGCTTTAGGGGATCCGCAAACTTGATCGAATCGGAGGTCAGAGAGATGAGGCTGAGGATAGGGCCGTCGCTGTAACGCTACAGGGTTGCTCTTGTCCCACTGCCACTTCCGACATGGGGAAGGGGAAATCACTGAAGGTAGACACATGGTAGCAAGCAGCGGAGTTGTTTGGTGCAACACACCTGACACTCCTTTTGTGATTTTCCAGAGCAAAACTCTGAGTTGGGCAACTCGACCCAAGGTCTTGCTTTGCCTTGGTTCAATCCACCATTAAAACAATGGTGGTTCCTAGAACCGCCAACATGTGCCTGAGGCGTGTCATCATCCAAATTGGGTCAACCAGTCTTTTGATGGGGGTTGAACCCTAGGGTTTGGTTTTACTTTTCAGGGTTTCCATGTTTACCAGGATTCTGGAGAGCAACCCTGGCCCAGTGGCTCCCATGCAAGCCACTATGGTAGGTAACCATTCGCCATTTTCCTCGTGGGTTTTGCAGGGCAGTTTCTTTTGGTTACCTACCATTGTGGGAATGGGCTCACTGGGACTACTTTGCGCCAGTTTGGGCGCGTCTGCGCCTATTTGGCGTTCTCGTTACCGAGGGCGAGTCTTGGGAGCGCCCCAAGATGCTGGTCGCCTTTTGTTTCACAAGTCTTACTTTCGATTCGCCGGCTTGTCGACCAAAGGGTCGACAACTGATGGTGTATCGGGGGTCGGCCGCTTTTCGAGCTGCAGGTCCTGAGTTTCCTGTCACTCACTTTGGAGAAATGTATTAGGTCCCGACTTGGGTTCCCGGTCCCCCCTCCCCTCCTTTTCCCCCAATGCTGTCCGCCCCCCCCCCCCCCCCCCCCTGAACCTGCACCCCGGCGCGTCCGGCGGCGCGAAGGACACGACCTGAACCAACCCTCAACCAACCCTGAACCAACCGAATCAACCCTCGACCAACCTAAACACACATCTTAAACGAACCCTAAACCACCACAACCCCACCAGCAGGGGGGGGTGGTCCTAGACGAGGGGGGGGGGAGGCAGAGCATACCTGGACCCTCAAAAAAAACCTTAGAAATCGGTTGGTGCCCAAAAAGTACGGGGTGATTTGAGCCACAATCAAAACCCGGGTAGATGAAGGTTAGTAAGGGCCAATCCCAGCCATAAATAGCTGCGGATATCCGCCTTCTTAATTCTTGAAGCATGGTTCTGGGTTCACCATTTTAATACCGGGTTTTGATTGTGGCTCATTTGCCTTTTTGGGTAGTGTAAGGGCTCAGGTAGCCCTACAGACTCACGACGGGGCCATTGGGGGGGCACGCAAGGAACTTGACCTCTGAAAGTCAGGCCACAAAGAAGCCTCGGAGCGACAGCGGTCTCAGAATGTATTTATGACTTTGGTATAGGACTACCAGGAGTCTCCATGACCATGGAAAAATGAGGTCCCACAAAGGGGGCTCGAAAAGGACCGTGTGACTTTCTCAAAACTTCTACGCAAACGGTGCTCGCAAAAGGACCAGGTGGACCCTCAAAGTTCCCTGAAAATGGGAGATTGCCCCAAATGTATGGGGTGCATCCTTTTGTTAGTTGGTAGTTTGAGGGCGCAGGTGGTCGTTCAACCCGGGGTGTTTCCCCATTCAAAACACCGCATCCCTCCCACCCCTCCTTCCCTCCGGGATCGCTGCAAATTGGTCTGCTGCCAGGCTGGAGAATCTTTTTACCATTGGTGGGGGGGTCTTGGTTGCGTGTAGATTGAATCTGAGACGCGCCCAGGTGGAGGAGATGCGATTGTGGACATGTTGTGAAAACAGCATAGGCGCTAAATAGCTGTAAAAGTTATCACAAATGCCAACCAAGCGTTTATGTCCCTCTACTTAACCGCTGAAACTTTTTTGGGGTCTTTGCCCCAGAAGCGGCTCCTCGGAAGGGTTTTCGGAAGGGTTCCGGGCGATGCGCGGGGCTTCTGAGCAACCACCAGACCTCATTTTTTAGCAACCTGGCCGCGTCAGTCAAGCCATGCAAGGTTAAGAGGTTTCAGCGGTTGTTCAATCATATTCATATCAACTCCGGCGGGCCCTTGCCATTTTTGCAGGGCCTTTCGGCTGCTTCCCGATCTGCGTATGGAAGTTCATGCAATGGTGATATCCATCCGCGTCTTTGCAACAATAGTTCCATGCTCCACAAACAGATTCGAGACCTGACGTTGAACGTTCATCAGGGCGCCGGTGAAAAAAAAAGCGACGGCGCTTTCTGCAGCCGGTCACCCTTTCGACGAAGGAGGGCACGCTTGTCAACCGGGTTTTAAGCCTTTGGCAGGCAACCCTAGGGTTCCGATTCGCCCCCATTGGAGCCAAGGTTGACCCAATTTGGATGACAATCCTTAGGTACTCAATGGCGCTCATATGACCCCCCCCTTTCAATGGTAACTGATCCCCAACAACAAACCTCTTGGCTCCCAGCCATCCGGTTCCTTCCCGGCCATCCGGTTCCTTAGCTTTTGAGCTTTTGAGCTTTTTAGTGGTACTGTGGATGGTTGCAAAATCCATTTCGCACCACTTTGAAACCATGGGAAACCATACAACATCCTGCACCACATTGAAACCATGGTTGAAACCATTTCTTGTTGGTATTTACAGGGGAACCATCATTCCAGGGTTTGTTAGGTGGTGCAAGATTTCGTCCATCCACAGTATGTTTTCCAATTTAGCCCACTAAAAGCTTAAACCTTTCGCGGGGGATCTGAAAACGGAGAGCTCAGTTGTTTCAATGGTAACTGATCTCCGACGACATGCTCAAGAACACTTCTTCAGAATCGAGGCCTCTTCGCAGGCGGGGCTTGGATACTTTGACCTGCGGAGTCCTGTCGTCTCCAGTGGTTCCGACGTCGGAGGGACTTCCTGGGATCCCGGCGATCTCTTTGCTGGCAAATGAATGTGGGGGGTGTCCCTGGAACTCCATTTGGGCGTGTGTACTTGGATAACTTCTTTTTTTTCAGCGGAAGGCCAAAGGAAAACACCACTTTGTCGGAGCTGGGGACCCCCAACCCTTCTCCTCACGGGGAGAGCTGCAGAAGTAGCTGCGCCAGCTCTTGAGACGCGAACAGCGTCTCGCGGCGCGGTCACAGGTGTGAAAGGAAAGGCTCAAGTTATGATTGGCTAGGTCCCCCCAGTAGTGCCCTTTTACCCTTTTTTGGGGGAGGGTTCCCCTACTAAAATAGACAACACAAAAACGGTACCCTTATTCTAACCTCTCTACTGGAGGACCCAGTTGGGACATCCACAGCGGGATCTTCTGGAAGATGCAGTGGAGCCTGGCGGTTTGCACAACTTGGTGGCTCGACGCCATCCCCTTAGCTTTTTAGCCTTTTAGTTTTTGGTAGTTTCCATTTAACCCACTAAAAGTTAGGCACTTTTAGCGGGGTATCTGAGGGCGTGTTTGGTAGTTTCCATTTATCCCACTAAAAGTGAAGCTTTTGGCGGGCAGCCCAGATAAGAGAGCTTCTCAGTTTCCACCTGTAGCAGATCGTTGAGGATTTGCACCGCTCGCTTCTCTGGCGCAGAGCGGTGTGGGTTTTTTCGGCCTTGCGAAACATCGCGCGGAGACCTGCATCTCTGTGGAAAAAAAGGAGCGCTTTGCAAGATACACCCTGGTTTTTTTGCTCCCATTAAGACAAAGGTTGGCCCGGTTTAGATGGTGATCCAGATCCCTGGAAAGAATGGGGAAGTGTCCCCTAGAGCTGTTCACAGTTGCCAGTTCAAGAGATTGCGTCCGTCCCTTTGTGAATGGACGAAATCCATTTCGCACCACCTTGAAGCCATGGTAAACCATTGTTTGGTATGAAATCCTGGGTGTGGCTCAAAATTAAACAGGAGGGGTTACGCAGGTTTTGATTCATGTTTCCACTTACCAGGGTTCCATTTTGGTACCAGTTTTTTGAGCCACGGCCACATGTTTGCAAAGGCCACCCTTATCACGCGAAAGAGTCTGACGGCTTTTGCGTACAAGAACATACCACGGCACCATGTCGCTGTACAACCAACTCGGCCATCACTGACTGGAGGCTTGTTCAATCTTGGTGGCTCCCAGCCATCCGGTTCCTTAGCTTTTTAGCCTTTTAGCGTTTAGTGGGGGTTTTCATTTAACCCACTAAAAGTTAAACTTCTAGCAGGGGATCTGAGGGCAGCCCAGCAATGCAATCTCAGAGAAGGTGGCGGGAAGCCAGGACTTCTGCTCGCCTACTAAACTTGTATCTGCACGCGCTTGAAAAGGCCACGGGCACGCGCGAGACCATGTTGCCCGTAGCCTCCACAAAGAATGACAGGGGGGGAAGACAGGCCCAACCCGGGCTTTTCTGACATCCCTTTTCAGTTCTAAGTTGGCAGACCGTTTTTGGTTGTTGGTGTCAGATCCCTTTAAGTTGGCAACTTTTTCCCGTGTTGTATTTTTCCTTTTTTGAGTTACTTCCAGTTGGCTATTGCTCTTGTTTGGCTAAGTCTTGCGTTGTCTTTGGATCGGCCCAAACAAAACCCTAGGGTTCCTTGTCCCCATTAGAAACAAAGGCCTTGGGACCCAATTTTGATGACAATCCTGAAGGGTAAACGTGGTGAAATATATGAATCCAATTCCATTGTTTTACTGATAGCCAGCCAGAACCCCAAGTTGAAAATCCCACAGGTCTATGCCCCCAATGGCGGCCAGGAGCCGATCTCGCGACTGCATCACACGGCTCGGAGCCCCAGAAGACGGGAAGACGAGGACCCGTTCGCAACATGATCAGGTTTCCCTAAGGGGGGTCTCCTCCAAAACTCGTTGGGTATGTCCTTCTTTTTTTGCTGGGGGGAGGGGGCACCCTTTTTTCCGTGTTGATTTGAAACGAGACTTCAGGGACATCCATTTTTGTGGCTTCCCATCTAATTTATAATTTGTGTTGAATATGGGACAGAGTCTGCGAGCATGATTCTTGGTGCTGTGTCGGCCAAGAATTGGTTCCACTTTATTTTAACACTATGGGGAGGGCACCCAGCCAAGCAATTCAATTGGTAAGGTTTCTATTGGAAACTCAAAGCAAGACCGAACTCTGGGGTCCAAATCTCTAGTTAAGCACATTGCACACATGCCAGTACCGTTATATACGGCAACCCG